TATTAATTTTAAGACTATAATATAAAATTAATATAATTATTTGTAATTACACGTAAATATTAATATTATGATTACATTATAATTAGATTTTTTAAATTATCATAAAATTATTTTTATAAAATTATTAAATAACCGCTTTTTGTTTCTTCTAAATCTTAATAAGATTATTATGTGGTTTATATTATATGATTATAAACTTAATAGTGTATACACTAAATATTTTATAAATTTAATTATTTAATTTTGTTTTTGTTACTCTTATTTGTTTATCTTTGTTAAATTAAAAGCTACATTAATTTAATATAAAATAAATATATATTTAAATATATTTTAGAAACATTTTTCATAAATAGATATTTTGTAACTTATAATTATAGAACTTATATATACTGTATATAATTTAATCAATAATTAACTCTATAAAATACTTTAATGATTTAATGATGATTTATTTTAAATTATAAACAATATATATATATATATAATCATTTAATATCAAATTTCTACTTATTATCTGACATTTTAGCAAAATATAAATGTTATTTTTTATTAACTTACAAAATAAATAGTATTACAAATAATTATTTTATAAAAACATTAAAATTTAATAAAATTTGTTAATTAAGATTAAACTATAGTATATTTAACTAAATTTTAAATTTTTAAACAAATAACTATCTATTATACATACTTTATTTAAAAATCTTTTTATTTAGATTCTAATTCTACTAAATCTACTCAACTTTTATAATTTTTTATTATAATTTGTCCAATAAATAAACTTATTATTAAGATTAGTCTTATTATATTTACAATAATATATTTTACATTATACATTTGCAGTAACTTTAATTTAAACTTTTTAATTAAAATTAACATTTGTTATAAATTAAATTAAAAGAAATTAAATTTTTTAAATAAAACATTACATTATCTAAGTTTTTTATAATAATTTTTTTTAAACTTAAATTTCATTTTATTTTGAATTTTGTTGATTGACCGAAGGATACCGTTTCTATCAATACTCGTTAAGTACTCATTCAACGGTATCTGACAGTCCTCTCAAAGATTGATAGTTTTTTTGTCTATTTTTATCGGACGACAGATTTATAATTTGTATAAAAATAACAAACATAGAAAAAGTTTTAGCAATTTAATGTCTAAATAATTTAAACAAAGTATAAATTAATTAACATATTTATATTATATTTAACAAATAATATTGCAATAATATATATATATAGTATTAATTTATTTAAAAAATTATTTTATTCTAATTTTTATTTTCAATAAAATTAAAAAATAATAAAATTATTATTATTCACTATTTTATTATTAAATGGGAACATAAGAAAAAATCTTATTAATGCACAAAATTAGCATAAAATTTATTATGAGTCGACAACTTTTAATATTAATATATTACATTAATATTTAAGTGAAAACTATCATAAAATATAACATAAATTTTATGGATATAATTTACATCTGCTAAAATGATATTTTCTCATGTTTTTGCTAAATATAAAATTATAGTTTTTTAATTTATAGTTTCATCAATTGTTAATGTTTTCAAATCCTTAACTAATAATGCAATTAATTAATAATAATAAAAAGTCACAAAAAGTCATATCTTATAGTATAATAGAAGGCTTATTATACATTATAAATATTATATACATTATAGAATAATTGTAAATATCTCTGAAATATTTCCAGTAATATTTATTAGTCAAAAATCTAGTTTCACTTAACTTATAAAATTATAAAAATTGATTTTGTAGTTTATTAAATAATATGTATCCATCAAAAAATCAGTATATAAGTCATTATTAAAGCATTTATTTTAAACGATAAAGAATATTATTTAAGCATAAGGTATAACCAAACAATAAAAAAAAGTTGTAACAAAAATAAAATAATAACTATAATATAAGATAAATACTATTTATAAATGATATTCTTAAATAACTTCAATAATGAATAGAATTTCTCATCAAAAATATACAATTGTGTTGTAAAGTGTCGAACAATCGATTTTTTAACGATTCAATTGTAATACAATTGGATTCTTATTGAAATCCAACCAAAAAAAAAATATTTTTTATCTATAATTCAATTCAATATTCTAATACATGTTTTGTATTTTTTATCACACAATCACATAAAATTGAAAAAATATAAAACAATAACAAATTCATATCTATAAATATTAAAATGGGATGCATTGAAATAAGTTATAATGATAAATTAAAAGTATTATTATTATTATAATTAATTAATAGATTATATACTGTATTATTGATATTAAATATTAAGTTTTAGTAATTTATTTTTTTATCTTATTCTAAAATTATTATTTTATTTATACTAAAGTTAAGTAATTATTAGTAATTTTGTTCATATGGTTATCAAATAATTTGAGTTAATATACTGTAAACATATACAGTATTTGTATCACCCGAATCCATAAATTTATTGTTTATATTAGCCATATTAGACATAATGTTGTAAATGTCCATGGGCAATTAATCAATTTGTTAGATATAATACTTATGACACGTTTGAGTGTCACATATGTTTACGACAAGTCTAATAATAATAATAATAATAATAATAATGAAGATTTGAAGCTTTAAAATAACACATTAAACATGTTTGCTATTTGAGTTGAATACTAAATAAAATGATAATTTACTACAGACTCTACTGAGATATTTATATTCAGTTTATAATACTATGAATTAGTTATTTATATAAAATATTTACTATTAGATTATATAATATATACTTTATTATAGATTTTATGAGTATATATCTGATAACCAGAGACATGATTTTCTAGTAAAAATTCACTTTGATTTTTGAGTGTCATTTCATATAAATACATTTTTAGACAAATCTCAATATATAAAACAAAATGAGACACAATTTATGTTCCTATAAATCCTAGATTTAAGTGTTAGTCTTAAAAAAGTCCTTAATTTTCATTTTTAATCATAAAAGTCTTAGAAATGAAGTATTTTTAAAAATTTATATCAAATTAATATAAAATGCTTATTATTAGTGTATTGATTAATAATTTTTTATACTCTATTAAATAGTTGTTATAATAGTTGCCAAAAAAGCCAAATAGTTATTTTCTTATAAATATTTCAACTGATATAATAATTATAATTCACTTGTTTTCAGCATATTTACAAAAATGATTTATATAAATAAACTAATTATTTCTATTGTTAACAAGTAATATGAGTTAATAACAGTTTACACATTTTATATAATTTATATAACTATTACTTTTTGTTTTTACATATATTTGTGCAATATTTTACAATTTAATGCTTATATTTTTTTAAAAAAATGAAATAATTATTTATGTTTTTATAGTTGTTAACCCAACAAATAGTTATTTATAGTTATAATAAAATTTCGGAAATAGCGTCCACTGGTCAACTTCGGTGGATATACTAAGTCCCAGTTATAAGCGTTGAATCGACAAAATAATTTTTTTAGTTGGAAATCAAGACACTAATTATTATATTAAAGTTTAAACAAACCAATAATTTAATATACAATTACTTATAATCTATAATTTTGTTTTACATATTTACTATAAATATTATTGGATAACATTTATAATTTTTTAATAACCTAATAATATACTAATAGATTGTGACTTTTACTGAAAAATGAGTAAAGAATCTTAATCTATAAATAACGGATAATAGTATTCTATGACTAAAAGTTTCGACTAAATAAATGTTAAATCAGTTTATTTTTATACAATATCTCATTCGCGTAGATTTAATTGCGTAAAATTAACAACACTAGCTGTTAATCACCAAAATTATATCGATATCTTAAACTACTTGTTTACTGATTGCAAAGTGTTTTCAACTTAAGGTAAATAAGTTTTTATTATTATATTAAAGTGTATATTGTATTTTGTTTTATTAAATATTATTTAATAAAATTATTATACAATTGTAATTATTTTATATTATATATTTAATTAATGTATTAATAATTTATGTTTGTATTAAAATTTAAATAAATTAAAATTAACAAATTATATGATATTATAAATAAATAGATAATATATTATAAAATTATAAATAGTATAAAATTGATATATATATATATATATTTATAGTAAATAAATAAAGTTATATTAATAGAAAACTAGTAATGAGTTAAGTAAAGCCAATATGAGATTGGTCAATTTGCTTTTATAAATAAAATATGCAAATTACATAAAACATTAAACTAATCCAATGCATTTAATGCATTCAATTTTAATGCATTTATAAATTATATATTAAATATATATAATATTTATAGATTGCTTTAAACTTAATACATAACTCTATTTTTAAGGGATAAAAGATAAAATATGTAAACATTTATAAAAGTCATATTTTATATGCATTAATATTTATAAATATATATATATATATATATATATATATATATATATATATATATATATATATATATATATATATATATTATATTAAGTACACTAAGTACATAAAATACAGAAAATAATATAAAAACGGCATTTATTACACTTTATATTATATTGCGTAAAGATTTTGCTTTTAAAGGCAAACTGTTTTCAAATAATCATAATTTACTCGATGAAAGTTTTATTGAAAAACTATTTCAAATTCAATTTGATTTATAATTATTATCATAATATGAATGATATTGTAAATCAAAAATACTGTATTTATTTTCATCAGCAAAATATATATATAAATAAATAATATGTGAAAAGCAATATTCCCTTCACTGTAACTATGAAACCATTGAACTAATCTTTAATCCAAATCTATAATAATATAGTATATTAAGTTTTTATGAGATAAATATCTAAGATATTAATATACAGTATATTTAAAATCAACATAAATATTAATATACATATTATACAGAATAACCCGTTTATAACAAAATTTTTATTACAAATATAGAAATAAATTCATAAATTTAATAATTATAAAAAACAATATAAGTAACAATCAATTGATATCAATGGGTCTTAAATTGAAATTAGAAAAACATTTGAATTCATTTCCTAATTTGCGGTTATGTTTGGGTTCAAAGTGATGACATTCTTGCAGATGTAAACATTCATCGATGGTGTGTCTCATGACAGAACCCGTACAGAGGAGTATCTTATCATTAGCTAAATAATTGATTGTTTCGCTAGTCTTTCTTAAGCATTCATCCGAAAGAAAAGGTGGATCAGCAATGACCACATCAAATGACCGTTCTGTAAATCTGTCGATAAATGAGTTATCCAGTGGTTGATTGTAATCATAAAAAACATAATTTGATGGATATTTCATTTGAAACCGTTTGTCAAACTCAAATAAAATCAATTTTATCGATTGATTAATACTGTCTTTAATTAACTTTCGATACAAACAATCAAATAGTGTCGGACATGATATACAAGCGATTGACTTCTCGGTCATCTTTTCCGACTCATGACTACTCTGCAGATTCAATGCGTGTATCACTTCATCAGATAAATAGTTGGCCGTCTCTTCCGAGTACCAGAACTGACTTAATTGCTGTCAATAAATGACTTTTTAATATAATCAACAATAAATCCATTCAATAGTGATGTATAACATCACCAGTCAATACCCAATTCTCCTCAAAGTCTGTCTCTTCTTTATTACCACTATTTTGTTTGGCATAAGTTTCGGTGTAAAACTCTTTCAAAGCATTCAAAGTGTGCTCCGATAGCAACAAATCGGGATCAGTTGTGACCGTTATATTGTCGACACTATCTTCAGCTGACATTTCAATTCAATAATTAAATTTTATTAAATACAAGACTCTTTGATATTTAAAAATCCAAAGACGTCTTTCAAGTGTTTATTGACAACAATTGAAAGCACGTGTAGTGACTGTCACGCCATCCGAAGGAAGTGTTAGTATTAGTAATAAACCGGAATTTGTGGCAAATATTTCAGAGTTTGACTTTAAATTTATTAATTATTAGTAAATTAATAATTTATAAGATTATTAAAATAAAATTTATGAAAAAATATATTTTAAAATCAATCAAATTCTTTGATTTTTGTCACAATTATGTCAAACATTTGTTGACATTCCTTAAGATGTTTTTCAATATTGTCTTTAAGATCAGATTGAATCCAATAATCTTTATTTTTGTCAATTAGAAGGATCACAGAATTCAACGCTAATTTAGAAGACGATAATATCCTTAAAGCTTTAGTTGTGTCCATAAGAGAGCATTTGATATATTCATTAGCGAGAAGTAAGCAATGATTCAATATATTGACCATTAATTTGGGATCTTTTTGCCAATCATTTGATTGAACAGCACATCTGTGACACTTTTGTAGACATTGTATTACTTTTTCGCTATCATTCACTTTATTATTCATAAGTAATTTAGCGTAAAGTCTCCATATTTTAGTCGACCCATTACTTGTAGCTGATATCCGTCCAAACAATTCTTGTGCCTTTGAAGCCAATTTAGCGGCTGATTCACCGTTTCGATCATTAATACCGCCACAGATAGCAGAGATCAATATCTCGGCAATAGAGTCGTCAATATATTGACCTTTGATATCAATAAGTCGGTGCCACGATTGAATCACTTCAGTAAAAGCTCCGATATCGACACAAACAGCAATATAATTGTCCCAAATCTTCCACTCGTCATAATTGCATTTAATGGCTTCTTGTAATGTTTTCCACGAACGGAATTTTTGACCTAATTTTATATAAGCTTTTGAGAGGTTATTCCAGGCCTCAAAACTGGAGGTTTCAAACTGAATATATCGTCGATAGCCAGTAGCTGCTAACTCATAATCTTCGGTAAACATTGCGGCGAATGCTAGTCTCGACCAGACATCTGATTGCATTGAATTTATTTCAAGAGAAAGTTTATAATATGGTATGCAATCCGAGTACTGTTTCTTTTGGAAGAAATGGTTTCCTAAACATTTCTGAGCCCTTGGAAACTTATGGTGCGATAATTCCCACGATTTTTTGTAAAATGATATGTCGTCCGTTACGTCGCCTAACAAACAATACAAAAGTGGAGTTTCTTTTTCTTCAATTAGTTCACGTATTACAGCCTCTGCTTTGTCTCGACGACCAATTCTGTCATTATATTTATAACTAATTAATAAAAAAAATCTATTTTAAAACAATAATACCTTTGATAACAATCAATCACATCGTCCCATAAATTGAGTCTCAGATATATATCAAGAGCTGACTTATAGACTCCGAGTGAAACCAATATATTTGCTAAGTGTCGCTCTGTTATCCAAAATGGGTTCGTAGGGGAGGCATAAAAATGGTCGGATCTCTTAGCAATTTGAATAATAGTTAGTTTAGATTCGCGGACAGAATCAACTAATTCATTGATTTGTGTCATTGAACGCTCAACACGTCTTCGTTTGTTTTTTTCAAGAAGACTTCGCATCAATAGAGCATTTGTCATAACCGACCAAATCTTAGTCTTTGAAATTAAAAATTCTAAATAAGAGTTTACCTCTTCTGCTAACAGTTCATCAGATGGCGAACCAATTCGTTGAACAGATTTAATATATGCCAAAATCAGTATCTGTTCCGATGGCAGTAAAACTAAATTATCTAAATTTTCATTGTCTTCAATCGCTATAAACTTAATCTTCTCGAGTAAAGTGTCGTCATTTAGAGCCATATTTTTCGGTAAATCAATAACTGTTTCAGACGTTTTTGAAGACCCATTTATACCACTGTTTCTATTGATTTCAATCTTCAATTGCGCGACCGGTTTCTCTTGAAATTGAGTCCTTAAACCTAAAGCACCGATGAGTCCAATCTTAAGACCCGACAGTTCTCTAGCCTTCTCTAAATTACATTTAATTCTTTCAATATCTCCAAACCATAAAAATATATTTAATAATTCATTTAATAATTCAATTTTCAAATGTAAACCAATATTATTATCATTGGTATCAATAAACTCTTGTATTTTCTTTGAATCGGTTAATAATTCATTAAACAATGAGTCGGACGGCTCTCCGATTGTAATTTGATGAATGAATGCGGATCTCATTCGCCATAAAATCAACGATATATTAAATTTATCACTAATCAGGTCTTTCATTTGATGGAAAAGACATCGCGATAATCGAAGAAGTGATACATTTCTAGCCATTGAATAATAGGTTTGGCCGTCGATATCAAGACTATAATCACATTTATGTATCAATTCTTTAATAAATTCAATACATTCATCAAATTCAATGTCTTGTGTTATGAAAGACACAAAATTGTCGAAAACATATAACTCGAGACAAGAAATACCAAAAAAGGTAATTATCTGTAAAATCTGGTCTCTCTTGACATTAAACTTGGACTCAATTGATGATAAATTATTGGAAAAATCATTCAAATTTATGTCTCTTAAGATATCTTTAACAATAGATCTGTTCAAAAATGAACAATATTTGTGTCCAATAATATCATCAATTAATTGTTGTTCCCATTGATGGCAATCGTTGGCCACTTCTTTGAAGAGATGGACTTCAAGTGAACCAATTGTTTCATACATTTTGAGGTCAATTGATATGTCTTGAAGTGATGTTCAATCAAATCAATGCTTAAACAGTGAATCACATAATAAACACGTTTTGATGACAGAGTCTGTATGCGAGTCACGTGACAATCATGTCGTCATTGTTTGAATGCTTTTACTTTACAAAACTATTACTCCATTTATGTCATTACTAGTTAACTACAAGTAATAAAATGTGTATCAATAGTTAACACGTGCAACAATACTTACGCGCTTATAGTTTATTATAAACAGTATATTTTATTTAATAAATTAAAATTATTAATAATCGCATTAAAAAGTAATTGTTTGCGTGACATAAATATGACACAAACATTGAATAAATTATATAGTAGTATAGATTAATCAAATAAATAGTTTATAAAGTTATATAAAGTTATATAAAGTTATATAAAGTTATATAAAGTTATATAAAGTTATATAAAGTTATATAAAGTTATATAAAGTTATATAAAGTTATATAAAGTTATATAAAGTTATATAAAGTTATATAAAGTTATATAAAGTTATATAAAGTTATATAAAGTTATATAAAGTTATATAAAGTTATATAAAGTTATATAAAGTTATATAAAGTTATATAAAGTTATATAAAGTTATATAAAGTTATATAAAGTTATATAAAGTTATATAAAGTTATATAAAGTTATATAAAGTTATATAAAGTTATATAAAGTTATATATTTAATTAAGTTATAATTTTGTTTTAAATAAATAATATTTTAAATATTCAATAGTTTGCTTAATAGTTGTATTTTAATTATATTATTAACAATTATTTAATAATACAAATATTTATATTATTGACTTTTTAGTGATGTATAAAAAAATGTTATAAAAGATGATAAGATATTTGATGATACAATCAGTTAAATCCATCAATAAGTTGCTGTCTTTGGTCTATATTTGTGGATCAATTGGTTCACATATCCAACTTATAAACCAGGGTTGCGTAAGGTTTTCTATATCAGTGGGGTATAGGGGGGGGTAAACAATTTTTAAACAACTATTTTTGCCAAATTTAATTAAATACTCTATAAATTCAGTGAATAAAAGAAAATCTAATTAATACTCTAAAAATATTTTATTAAACTATTAATATTTATTTAACGTTATGTTGGTATCAGTATTGCAAGTATGGGTAGATATGGGCATTGCCTTAACTGCGGTGAGACATGGGAAGCTTGCGGTCAATAATTATCTCGAGAACCGTTGGTCAGATCTTGCGGTCAAACATATAAAAGTTCTAGAGAATAAAAAGTTAGAAACTAAGGTCCACTTGAAAAAATTTTAGGTCCACCAGGGGGCCCACAAAAAAATAAAACATGAAAAATTTGTATTAAATAAGTGGCGGTCAGGGAGTATCTCGAGAACCGGTGGTCAGATCTTGCGGTCAAACATATAAAAGTTGTAGACAATAAAAAAATAAAAATTATGGTCTACTTAAAAAAATTTAAAAACCCTCAGGAGACCCACAAAAGAATTTTAAAAAATCTATGAAAAAAGTGGTATTCAGTAAATATCTTGAAAACCAGTGGTCAGATCTTGCGGTCAAACATATAAAAGTTGTGAAGAATAAAAAGATAGAAACTAGGGTTGACATTAAAAAATTTTAGGTCCACCAGGGAACCCACAAAAAAAATAAAACATTAAAATTTTGTACTAAAAAAGTGGCGGTCAGTAATTATCTCGAGAACTAGTGGTCAGATCTTGCGGTCAAAAATTAAAAGTTGTAAACATTTATAAATTAAAAAAATGGTTAATAAGAATAATTTTTGGTCTACCAGAAAACCCATAAAAAATATAACATTTTTTTATTAAATAAAAATATAGGTTTTAATTTTTTGTGAGGTTCAAAAAAATTTAAATTTTTTTTAATTTAAATTATTGTTTACTTTTAAATTTTTAAAAACTTTTAAAGGTTTGACCGAAAGATCTGGCTTCTAGTTTTTCAGATAAACAATGATCAATATTTTTTTAATACAAAATTTTCATGTTTTATTTTTTTTGTGGGCCCCCTGGTGGACCTAAAATTTTTTAATGTCAACCCTAGTTTCTATCTTTTTATTCTCTACAACTTTTATATGTTTGACCGCAAGATCTGACCAATGGTTTTCCAGATATTCACTGACCGCAGCTTTTTTAATACTATATTTTCATGTTTTATTTTTTTTGTGGGCCCCCTGGTGAACCTAAAATTTTTTCAAGTGGACCCAAGAGTCCAAGGGTCCGAGATTTTAGGTATCAGATCAGGTACGAGTCCGAAACTTTTCGCTCTCTAATACCAACCCGTATTACAAGTGCTGATATACTGTATATAGTGTATGCATTTGGGAATGTATTCGGTTAGACAGGTATTCGACTGATTAGTTTATATTAAATATCTGATAAACCATACATTCAATTTAAAAATGACCAAGAACATAATTGTAGATAATAGTCAACTATTTTATGTCAATGTTATTATCTAGTTCGTTTTACAATCAAAATTGACCAATTACAATAATGTTGAGTATAATATTATCTACAATTATGTTCTTGGTCATTTTTAAATTGAATGTATGGTTTATCAGATATTTAATATAAACTAATCAGTCGAATACCTGTCTAACCGAATACATTCCCAAATGCATACACTATATACAGTATATCAGCACTTGTAATACGGGTTGGTATTAGAGAGCGAAAAGTTTCGGACTCGTACCTGATCTGATACCTAAAATCTCGGACCTGACCTAACATAGGGTACAAATTTACCTGACCTGACCTGACCTGACCTGACTATGTCTGTCCGAAAATAATTTTATCAAAAAACAATTTTATTCATACTATACACACAACAAATTTCTCTAAATTAACTTTAATTACTCGGAATTAACGATAACTTATAGTAGATCTAACTTAGATTCTAATAAAGTTAATATTTTATTATTTATTAGATCAAAACCATCATCTTTTGTAATATTTTATGTTTAATTTATACAAATATTTCATAAATAATAATTTAATAAATTTTGTGTTTGATTGTCATATTTTGTAATAATTGTCGTTTAAATAATGAATAAAAAATTTTCTGACCTGACCTGACCTGACCAAAAAATTTTGGTGTTCGGACCCGTACCTGACCTGACCTGAGCCCTAACTTTTACCTGACCTGACCTGACCTGAAAAATCAGGTCAGTTTTCAGTCTCTAGTTGTTATCATAATAATTATTATAAAATATTTTAATTTTCATTTACAATTGATATCACGTGTCACCCGAAACTCAGGTCTTTAAGCGGCAGATATATGTTTGGACACCAATACAAGTGTCGCACATTCAGTGCTTATATAACTTAATAAACTATTTATTTATTTATCAAAAAAACTTGAAGTTTTGTTTACTGAAATCTATAATGGCTTTTTGAGTCTGTCTGTCTGTGTGTGTGTGTAGCATTTCATTTTGCGAATTTTGAAATTCTGACTTCAGATTCGGTTAGAGGACTACTAATAATGTATTGAAAAGTTGCATCAAAATTTTGATATCTCTTCGGGAACATAGAAAAAATGGCGGCCAAAGTAAAGAAATTTTTAAGAAAATTTTTTTAAAGTATAGATTTGAATAAAGTATCAAAATCAAGCATAAGAAATATGCATTAAAATTTTGATATCTCATCGGGAACAGAGAAAATGGCGGCCTAAGTAAAAAATTTTAAGTAAAAATTTTAACTTTTAGAATTGTATAGGTATAGAGCATCAAAAATAAGATATAATAGCTCAAAATTATTTTTATAATTTTTCATAAATGGCGGCAAAAAAATAGAAAATTTTATTCAAATTTTAACGATTAGAATTTTATAGAGCATCAAAAATAAGATAATAGCTCAAAATTATTTTTATTTTTACAAAATATAGTTGCAAAAGTATTATTTTGGCATACTGAAATATTTGATACCCAACATGACTATTGTTGAGTATATTTTGTCATACTGAATCATTTGATACTCAACATGACTATGGTTGAGTATATTTTGTCATACTGAATCATTTGATACCCAACATGACTATAATTGAGTATATTTTGTTATACTGAATCATTAGATACCCAACATGACTATAATTGAGTATATTTTGTTATACTGAATCATTTGATACCCGACATGACTATAATTGGGTATATTTTGTCATACTGAATCATTTGATACCCAACATGACTATTGTTGAGTTTATTTTGTCATACTGAATCATTTGATACTCAACGTGACTATTGTTGAGTATATTTTGTCATACTGAATCATTTGATACCCAACATGACTATGGTTGAGTATATTTTGTCATACTGAATCATTTGATACCCAACATGACTATGGTTGAGTATATTTTGTCATACTAAATCATTTGATACCCAACATGACTATAATTGAGTATATTTTGTAATACCGAGTCATTTGATTATATGTCTTAAATCAACTGACAATTAATTGGCGAAGATAATATTTTATGTCGTCAAAGTTTTTTTTCTGATAATGCTTTCTAGCATTCTTAACTGGTTTTTTGTTTAATACCAAATTTCATATAAATAAATAAAAATTCGGTGCATTTGGTATCATAATTGGTATAAACATGTATTATATAAAAATTAATAGACGTATTAATAATGACTAACTGATAATAATTGTAATAATATCTATTTGTGTTATAAATTGGTAATGTCTATTTAAATTACAATTAATAATAATGCAAAACAGTATTACAAATATATATCATATTTTTTTAAGAAAAGGTAAAAATACATTTAATAACTAATACAACTGAATATAATATAATTTTTAATCATTGATTGCATTCACATGTTTAACACAACTAATACTGTTTTGCCTAATATTATATTTTTGCTAATTTTTATATAATAGAGTTATTTGTATATATTTACTGTTATTAATAGTTAAAAACTATAACTTAAAGCAAAAAATCTGCAGTATTTAGTACTTTATATTCTATTTTTACAGTTTTAAGTTATAATATTTAATTATATTTATATTTACTAAAAACACAAAATATTTAATTAAATATATTTTGATTCACTATATATTAAATTTAATACACAGTGTATGTCATCAGTGAAGACATTTCAAGTGGTGATGAAATGCAGTATAACTTATAGTGACGTCACTTATACTACACTTATATATTGACGTAAACATTGAAAGTATGTTTTGGTTTGGATTTAATTAGACTTTTTTGATGACATATGTTAAACAATGTATTTAAGGAATGAATTAATTTTAATATAAAGAATAGAAAATACTAATATCAACCAAAATGGACATCAATAACGTGACTAAAAAAATAAATAATTAGTAATATTTAATATATTGTTTTATATTATTAAATAATATATTATTATAAAAAATATTTTATAAACTAAAAATACCGTATTACCTCAAATAAAATTTTTAAAAAATATAATATTTTTATTAAAATAAATATAAAAATGATACCGTATTACCTCAAATAAAATTTTTAAAAAATATAATATTTTTATTAAAATAAATATAAAAATGATACCGTATTACCTCAAATAAAAATTTTTTTAAATAAAATATTTTAATTAAAATAACTATTAAATATATAAACGTACCGTATTACCAAAATACAGTACATATTGGAAAAACACATTATAATTGAAAAAACACATATGTGTTGGTAATACGGTACATATGGGAAAAACACATTATAATTGAAAAAACACATAATATGTGTTGGTATTACGGTACATATGGGAAAAACACATTATAATTGAAAAAACACATATGTGTTGGTAATACGGTACATATTGGAAAAACACATTATAATTGAAAAAACACATATGTGTTGGTATTACGGTACATATGGGAAAAACACATTATAATTGAAAAAACACATAATATGTGTTGGTAATACGGTACATATGGGAAAAACACATTATAATTGAAAAAACACATAATATGTGTTGGTATTACGGTACATATTGGAAAAACACATTATAATTGAAAAAACACATAATATGTGTTGGTATTACGGTACATATTGGAAAAACACATTATAATTGAAAAAACACATAATATGTGTTGGTATTACGGTACATATGGGAAAAACACATTATAATTGAAAAAACACATAATATGTGTTGGTATTACGGTACATATTGGAAAAACACATTATAATTGAAAAAACACATTATAATTGAAAAAACACATAATATGTGTTGGTATTACGGTACATATTGGAAAAACACATTATAATTGAAAAAACACATAATATGTGTTGGTATTACGGTACATATGGGAAAAACACATTATAATTGAAAAAACACATAATATGTGTTGGTATTACGGTACATATTGGAAAAACACATTATAATTGAAAAAACACATAATATGTGTTGGTATTACGGTACATATTGGAAAAACACATTATAATTGAAAAAATATATTATTTGTTGGTAATACGGTATTAATTATTATTTTTTATTTTATGATAAATTATATTTTTTTATTTTATAATAAATTAATTTTTTTTTATTTTATAATAAATTATTTTTTTTATTTTATAATAAATTAATTTATTTTATTTTATAATAAATTAATTTATTTTATTTTATAATAAATTATATTATTATTACATTATTTATGTTTAAAAATGTGTGAATCAATGGTTTACTAATGCATTCCTTAATAGCAAATCAGTAAACCATTGATTACTAAATTAAATAAAAAACAATTCAAACCTTATTTGAAGCCATTGTTGTCGTCAATGTGTCCACTGATGTCTAATCTAATGATAAAAAATAAAATAATATTTAATTAATTGTTAATATAATTATTAAATGTAATTAAACTTACCGTTGATTTCGTTCCCAATTGTGTTGATCCGGTGGTTGTCTTAGTTGTGACTAAATTGTGTTTTTGCGCCAAATTTTTTGACTAATTTAACAATTGTTTATTAGAGGGCATATCAATAGCTCACTGATGAGCTATTGATGACAAAAATTGATTAACAAATAAACAAATAATTAATTGTTTTATAAATCCATTCCTTATTAACACAATTCCTTAAATACATTGACTTTCATATTTGACGCCTAATATTCTTCCTGTGACTCATTTGTTGTCTATTTAAGAGATTTTTATATTTTAGTCGACATTTTTAAAGCCAAATCAGAAAATTTGTTGAGAAGATGTACACCACTTCTAGTGTAAGATTTGATACGATGAGTGGTCACAACCAGAAGTTGTCCACATATTCACAGATCGAGTTGAGTGTTTCGGCCCGAAAACTGATCAATCGGGACATTACCTCAAAATCAGATCCACAATGTATTTTGTATATAAGACATGGATTAAGTGACAAATTTATTGAAATCGGCAGAACAGAAGTGATTAAAGACAATTTAAATCCCGATTGGATCAAGAAGTTTGACATTCAATTCAAGTTTAATGAAAGCCAACTCTTGAAGTTTGAACTTTGGGACTTTGATCCCATCTCTGGCAATGAATTTTTGGGTCAAATTGCTGTCGAGTTGGGCGCTATTCTGGCCAAAAACGGTGGAACTTATCAACAAAAACTAACAACTGGTGGACGACAACCTCGAAGATTTGGAGGAGAATTATTGATCAGAGCTGAAGAATTGTCTGCCAATAAACAAATTGCTTTGATTTCATTTTCGGCCTCCAATTTAGATAAAAAGGACTTTTTAGGTAAATCTGATCCTTATTTGACACTTTCGCGAAGCAATCCCGACTCTACCTATAGTGTGGTCCATAAGACTGAAGTAATAAAAAATACATTGAATCCTCAGTGGAGACCATTCAATATAAAAGCCCAACAGTTGTGTGGAGGAGATTATGAAAGGTCTATCAAAGTAGACTGTTATGATTGGGACGAAAACAGTGCCCACGACTTGATTGGCACTTTCGTGACAAACTTGAAACGACTGTCTGCCGGCTCATCTCAAAACACTTATGAGGTATGTATTGAAATCTATTAAAAAATTATTTATTTGTTAATTATTTTACTTTTCAAATGAATATTTTTACCAATTCTTTTAGTTAATAAACGAGGAAAAGAAGAAACGTAAAGGAAAGTCATACACCAACTCAGGTGTTGTTAAACTGAATAGTATTTCCATTACACAAGAAGTCACTTTTATAGATTATATTCGCGGCGGAACTCAAATGCATTTTGCTGTTGCTGTTGATTTCACGGCATCTAACGGTGACCCACGAGATCCACGCTCTTTGCATTTTCTTGACTATAGTGGACGTCCCAATCAATATGAAATTGCTTTGAGATCTGTGGGCGAAGTTATCAGATCATATGATACACAGGGATTGTTTCCGAGCTATGGATTTGGTGCTAAATTACCGACCGGACACGTGTCACATATGTTTCCCTTAAATAATAACACATCGCATCCCTATTGTCGAGGCATTGAAGAAATAATTGGTTTCTATAAGTCAACTTTAAATGCTATTACACTTCATGGACCCACCAATTTTGCACCAGTTATTAACAATACCACTTCAATAGCACAACGATTTCAAGATGGAAAGCATTACTTTATTTTATTGATCATCACTGATGGTGTTATCTCTGATATGTCCGAAACAATCGATGCTATAGTAAACGCCTCAACTCTGCCCTTATCTATAATTATTATTGGTATGTATTTTAAATACATTTTTTATTTAAAAATTGTTATTAATTTATAATTGAATGTTAATACAGGTGTCGGAAATGCCGATTTCAGTGCAATGGACTTTCTTGACGGCGACGGCACTACAATTGTATCGCGAGGCAGACGAGCCGTCAGAGATATCGTACAATTTGTACCATTAAATCGATATGTTAATAGCAATTGGCAACAAAATCAGTTTGAGTTAGGAAGGGCTGTATTGGCTGAAATACCGACTCAATTCTTGCAATTTATGAACTCGAAAGGCTTTAAACCATCGCCACCGGGTCAGGGATCAGTACAGACCGGTATATTTCCAGAACCAACCGGCAATGAATCGACACCTATTTATCCATCAATTCCTTCTGAACCAAATCAATCTCATTTTTCACCAACAAACCAGAAGGGTCCGGCACCTCCTCCTCCATCAACATTCGGTTCTTATGGTACACCAACAGCTGGTGCGCCTTATCCTCCAAACACGACGTCTATGTCTTATCCCAATATACAATCTGGTAACCCTTATCCACCAAATCCTACACAATACCCTCCCGGAAACCCTTACCCACCAACTACTACAGCTTAATACCCTGCAGGAAACGCTTACCCTCCGACATCTACACAATACCCGTCTGGAAACCCTTACCAACCAACTGCACCCACCCAATACCCTACTGGTAATCCATACCCAAATATCGGTCCTAATCCTTATCCAAGTCCAGGAAATTCTTATCCGCCGACTGGTTCAGGCTCTTATCCCTATCCACCAGCAGGTAATTCTCCATATCCTTCCAGTACCACTAATGCCCGACCTACTGCACCACCTAATCCCTCATATCCCTCCTATGGTGGTCCCAATCAACCTAGTTATCCACCGTATTAATTAGTCTTTTAATAAATGCTACAGTCATGACAATAATCACAAATGATTAACCGATCAAATATATTAATACGACTGTGATATTAATTGAGCCATAAATCCATAAATATTTACTAAAAAACAATTCAAATTAATTGAAAATTTTTTATTTCAAGTTTATCTCTGATGCCAATTAAGTTGCTTTAAACTTAAATATAATATAACCAAACTTAACTAAACATGTTTTTTAATTATACAGTATTTATATTATTTGTTAATATTGTTGTTGTGTTGTTGCTGCCAATATATCTCAAGTCAAATAAAGATTTACCAATAAATAAATTTGCATTTAATATATTTACAAATCATCTAAAAATAATTTATGATTTTGATTGAATAAGCATCACAACTAAGGTAATTAACTATTAAATATAGCAAATAAATGGATATTTGTTTTACTTTATGATATTTAGTTTACGTGAATCCATATTATAAGTTCATTATGGCTTAGTTGATATTAATGACCGGATAGTATATGAAACCAAATATCAAATAAAATATAAACTATTTTAATAATATTTTTAATTAATATTTAATATTAAATAATTCTTTAAAATAGTGAATTTAAAAATGATTCATATTTTTGGGTTTAGTTTTTAAAAGTGAAATATAACCTAAAAGACAATTCCTAGACATTTGACTGTTATAAGAGCCCTCAACTCATATGATTTATATCAAGATTTTTAATTAAACTTAGCTGACATTTGACTGCTATTTTTATGTACAAACTCAGGAGTAAATCATATAATTAATAAAAGAATTTTGAAATATCTTATATTTCATAAAATTTGTAGTTATTATAATAGTTAATAATTGATAGAAAATTTAAAACATTTTGCCTATGATTACGCCCACCATAAGCATCAAGAATGCTATTGCCAGCAACTGTGGAGTCCAAACTAGACCTCCATTATATGCCAACTTATGCGACACATCGGTCGGCAGCGCCTTATTGTCACCCGATATCTGAGATATGATTCCACTGCGAATCCTATGTTTTAATCCGTCCTCTTTTAACTGCAAATTCTCGGTCCGAATAGACGCCAACTCTTCCCGTAAACGTTTGTTTTCGTCCGCAAATTTTTTCTTATCATCAATCGATTCAAAAGGTTCTTCAGCAATACTCTACATTAATTAATTCAATTAATAAATTTATCATTAATTTTGCCATCAAATAATAAATCTTATAAAAAATTAGCAAACATTAATATAATACTAAATTATAAATACACTAAATAAATAAAAATAATAGATAATAAATAAATAATACAAACAAAATAATAAAGTATATAAATATTTAAAATACGTTTATAAATAAATAATTTAAATATTAAGTAAATAAAAATCGGACGACAAAAGCAGTAATAAAGCCACAAATAAAAGCAACGGCCACAGGAATTATTTCAATGATTACCGCAGAGTTGGTCGAAATGTGCGATGTATTGAGTGGCAAAGCATTGGTGGCCACAGAACTCGAGCGGACATTCGTGTCATTATCAGTGGTCGACATATCAAACACACACTTTAATTTCGAGTCCATTATCGCTTCGGGATTCACTTCTTTCCACTAAAAAAACATTTATAATAATTATAATCATATTTTGATATAAAAACGATTTATCAATTAGTAAACAACTCATACGAGCACATCTTGATTGACATCTCCTTCGGGAGCAAACATAGTCTGAACCATAAATTTATGTTTATTTTTATCGTTCAGATTGTCTAAGTCTACGGGTTGTAACATAACGGCAATAGTTGTGTTGCCGTACGCTTCGATCAGACCATTGTTGGGACGAACGCAGTACCTCTTGGGCGCCGTTGTCTTCACTTTGAAACACACCCTACGGTCGCTTGGATTCGTCAGTTTTAGGTATGAAGTGACCACATCTGTAAACGGACCTAATAGTAGACATAATGACAAATAATATTAGATATCATGTCATCAAATGTGGAACCGATTCAGTGATAATATGGTTTTACAAAACTCAAGTACACATAACGTCACGTATTTGTGAAGCAAATGCATTGAATAGTCATTGTTTGAGTCAACAATGTTTGACATTATGTGATGACTCGGTTTACATCAAATCATTCATTTAGACAAACAATCGGTTGATTATGTCATCGATGGACATACCTTTGAAATGTAGTTCCACTTTGGGCTCAAGTATGAGCACCTGTTCCTGTTTGGACATTGTGTGGCACTTTAATGACCAACTCGTCACTTGTAAACAGTGGTTATGTCTTCAAATGAGTCAATGAAATGACAGACAGTGTTTGTGAGGCATTAGTAATGCATTACAGCATTCAATGCATTCAATCGACAAATCCGTTAATATTAATACATTCAACACAAGTCTATGTATAGAATGCACTGCGACTGCGCATACATTCAACAAATCATACAAACATAACAAACACACGCTTTCATTGCAAACACGTTGTGACCGCAGTTGACATTAAAGTGGTCACTAATTGGTCTCACAATGCGTCCCCTAACCGATGATGAAACTGTTGTACTTTTTGAAAAACTCACCAAATAGTAAGTTAACTTTTGATGGCAAACATTGTTTCATTGAATGATTGATTTTATAGTATTGGAGATAACGTACGACTACTTATCTCCCGACCCGACGGTGTCTACTGTTTTCGTCTACACTCTGATCGGGTATTTTACTGTTCAGAAAATATGATAAAATTAGCCTCAAATGTGGGTCGCGATAATCTGGTCTCATTTGGCACCTGTTTCGGCAAATTCAATAAAAACAAAAAATTTCGTTTACATGTGACGGCACTTGACTTTATCGCACCGTATGCTAAGGTATATAACATAACTGAGTACTACTTATATACTTATCTTTAATATATATATATATTTAATGATTAAAATAATTAGAATAAAGTATGGCTTAAACCAAATGCTGAACAACAGTTTCTTTACGGTAATCACGTATTGAAGTCTGGTTTGGGAAGAATTACCGAAAGCACCGGACAATATCAGGGCGTTATTGTCTACTCCATGAATGATCTACCGCTTGGTTTCGGTGCGACCGCTAAATCTGCACTCGACTCTCGTAATGCCGATCCTATGACTATAGTTGTGTTTCATCAGTCAGACATTGGAGAGTATCTACGAAATGAAGATCATCTCGTATAATGTGGTCATCAATGCATTCATTTTATTAAAAAACAATTTTATTTAATAAATTTTAATATACAATACAAATTAAGTGATCAATTTTATATTTAGCATTTAAAGAAATTAAAATATATAAAGTATATGGGACTAAATAAATTAATTTTTAGAAAATAAAGATAAAATATTTGTTTTTTGTACTAAATATTTAAAAAAATTTTAAATCCTTTTATAAATCGTGTGTTAACTTATAATTTGGAAATATCTAACTTCTGAAAAAATTCGCATTAATAGCAAACAAGTAAATGTATAGATATTTATAGTTTAAACTTTAAAGTGCAGTGTTTTAAAAAGTACTGTAAATACAACACAACTTCAGTTATTTTTATATACCGATAATTTAATACAGAAATGACAAATTAACTCAAAACAATTTTACTATCAATTTATTAATAATACTAAAATTTTACAATTTTTAAAAAATTATTTTTAAATATACATAAAAATAACATCGGGTTAGTTAATGGTCCCAAATATTTTGGCTTTAAATTATAATTGTGTAATAAAATTCAATTTAAAATTATAAATTCAGTTATGAATAAAATATCAAAATATGTATTTCAATATTTCTAGCGATTCTATATATTAATCATAGGAATAGATATCGGTTGGACTCCTAATTGTGGACTTCGTTTTTGTTTGCACGTGAAGTACAACACTGTATTAAATACATTACGGTAATTATACAGTATTATGCACGCGTGAAATAAATTTATTTATTTTAAGTTATAGAGTCTATAGACTAATATCTATCATAAGTTTAGATATTTCCATTATCTATTATTCTATCCATCCCTTGCTTTATTCCTCACAAACCAACCCATCCCACACACACACACACCACTTCCTAACCTCACACCCCACCCCCACCACCACCTAAACTAAACCAAACAAAGATATTATAAGGCATTTATTGCACTATAGAAACGAAGCCCACAATTAGGAGATAAGCCTAGATATCAATCCAAATCATAATAGTTATCATTTTGACAAAATAATAAAATATTTTATTAAAATATACTTATATAAATATATACTGTAATAATTTTTATAAATAGCACAAAATAATTATAAAATTAAATATTTACAAAAAGGTTTTAAAAGATTTTTATGATTTTCATTCGGGGAATTAAGCGAAGAAATATTGTAAGTAATGAAACAGTTTTAGATTAATTATATACTGTATTAATTACAGTTGATATAACATTTCTGAGTCTAATTTTAAATATCAATTTAAATGTTATAAACAAAATATTTGATTTTAAATCTATTATAAATAATATATTATTAAAATTTATAAGAATTTGGTTTAAATATTGATATATTCTAAAATTTAAAAAACCCATATTTTAATTATTTTAGACATATTTTATTAATTATTTTTAAATTCTTTTAAAATTATAATTCACTTATTATAATAATAACAATTACAGGAGATTATAATTAATAAAAACAGTATTATAATAAAAATATTTAATTTACAATATGATTATAAAAATCATTTATTTATTTAAAATAGTGTACAGTAGAATAAATACATTTCAATTAAAAAATAGTAATATTTGAGTACATTTTAAATGTAAACTAAAATATAAACATTTTTTAAATATTGATAATCATAATTAACAATAATATGTATTATATTGAGATCAAAGTTTTAACTTTTACTAAATCATCAGAAATGAATTCAATCTAAAAATATTATATATATATATATATATAAAGATGAGATAGTTATTTGACTTTAGTTTTAGATAATTATTAGACTCGTAGTCATTGATGTTTAAAATTACTTTAAATAACAAGTTGTATATTACGTTATGTGTAGTTCATAATTATTTATCAAATTAATTTCAAGGATTTTTGTTTTAATAAAATTTACTTTATGTTTAGCTTTATTAGACAAATATATTGTTGCTTTAATGTTGAATAGATTTAATAATAAAAATAAATTTTATGTTTTTAATGCATAATAATTACGAAAAATGAGTGATCAAAGTGATAGTATTTCAGTCAGAAAAAGACGGACAAATGAGTCTGAAATTACTAAAAATGTGTCCAAAAATTTTAATGATTTGTATTTATATGACCCGTAAGTGTTTAAAATAATATAATAAAATAATATTATTTGTTATAAAAGTTTAACATTTATTTAATAAGCTGTCATACAATTCAAGAATCATTGCTAAGTAAACCCAACTCTGATATCAATTCACACGGATTTCTTAATTTAGCTCTCATTTTGCTGGTATTTATTTGTTTTAATTTAAAAGCATTTTAACATTTATCAGTTTCTAAACATTAATTTACTTAAAATATTTTAACATTTTATTTGTACACAAAAGCATTTAACAAATACAGTAGTTTTATAGTAAACAATACTGAATATAATGTGTTATTAATTATTGCATATTTATATTTTTCTAATTCTAGACCTCGATTTTATAATTATTTTATATTTTTTTATAATAACTTATAAATAAAATCGTATGATTACACAATATATAGTAAACTAAAAATACAATATTTAGTTAAAGCATGTGTGTGTGTGTGTGTGTGTGTGTGTGTGTGTGAGAGAGAGAGAGAGAGAGAGAGAAATAACGGTTAGTGAGGAAATTGTTAGTACTATTATTATATAGTGTTTGCTTTGTCATGTTATAGTAATGTATACATTTAGTAATGTATATCCCTAGTTGTAATATTTTTAAAAATTTTATAATAATTTATTTTTAGTATTAAAAGATACAATAATTTTTATAATAATTTTGTAAATTATTGTGTAAATTGAAATAAATGTTTTGATAACAACTATACATAATATTAATAATATGATGTATATTACAGTACAATATAGACTATTGTATTATTGAAACCACTTATCAGTGTTGGTCACCACAAATGCTTTCATAGAATACTATATTCTATTTACTTTTTATTTGAATGAATAGAAGTACTATAAGTATAACAATAGATTTGTTGGGTTTGAGTTGACATATGGTTTGGCATTATATTGAATGTATATTACAGTATATTTAGTGTCAAATTTATAGTCATTCAAACTATTCGGACATTTAGTTTAAAATAAAATTTACTTAATTATTATTATTTTGTTAATTACTTTATGTTAGTTGTGATATTAAAATTTAAATATTACAATATAATAGGTTTATAATAATAACTTAATATCTAAATTATATATTAAGTAGATTTTAAGTATTAATTCAGTGAATAATTAATGAATTATATGATAGATATTATCCAATACAAGAGTGGCCTTAAATAATTTGATAACATTTGGAGTACTCGTCGATCCATTCAAATGGATGCAAATATTTGTTGAAAATCCTTTACAAAGACCGACATTTATATTGATTTTAATGCTTAATATATTTTCAATTATTTCTGTATTTATTGAGAAATATGTGGTGATTAAGAAAATTAGTGAAAATAAAGCTAATTATCTTATTATAGCAAATATTTTTGCAATTTTAGTCACACCTTTAATTGTCAACATATTATTTGAATGCAATCTATTATTAATATCATTGGTTTGTGCCGTATATTCAATAGTTATTTTAAAGTTAATATCATATCATTGTGTAAACCATTGGTGCCGAACATCAACCAAATATGGGAAACCAATTACAAGTCCTATTAAAGTACGTCAAGAGTTCATCAAAGCATTCATTAATAACAATAAAGTGATTAAATATCCCAATAATATTGGATTCATAGATATGTATTACTTTTTGTTTGTTCCCACACTTTGCTATCAAATCAATTTTCCTCAAACTTCACGAATACGTTTGAGATTTATATTATTGAGACTCATTGAAAACGTAAATAAAATACATATATTTATATTAATTAATTATCTAATAATTATATAATTTAAAAAATATATATTAGCAATTATTTTTATCTATTTAATATTTAATTTATGTTAAACATTAAATTTGTAAATATATAATTTATTTATAGTACAGTACAATTATATGATTATTATGTTAGATTATTTTTAATGTTATTAATTATTTTAATAAAAATATTTGTAATATACTGTACTCTATATAGAATATATTTTAATATAACTTAAAATTATTATAAAATTTTCTATATTTTTCAACCTATAATATGATTTTTCCATTGAGTTATGTAATTGCGATTCTTTAAGAATTTTATATAATATGCTGTAATTTCTTTAAAATATTCACAAAAAAATGATTTAATAATTAGTTTTAAAATATTAATTTATTAAAATAGTTAAATTTTATTTAAAAATAAACTTATTTTTATTTATTAGATTTATGAATATTTATTGAATTATACAATAATTAATAATACTTACATTTTATATTACAAAATTGTTAGATTTGTTATTATTAGTAACTTTAAATATATGATTTTTATAAGAATATACTTTATAATTATTTTACTATAATATTAAATTATATAATATAATATTAATAAGAAAAATATATTATATATAATAAAAGTATTGTAATATTTCTTAATTAATATTAACTAATATTCAGGCGGTTCTCTTGCAAGTGATAATTGGTTTAATTCAACAGTGGATTATTCCGGGCGTTCAGAACTCATTAGAGCCCTTCAATAATATGGAATATTCAAAAATATTGTCGCGATTGCTATTATTAGCCGTAATATTTTAATTACTTATATAATATATTATTTAATTAAAATTTTTCATTAAACTTATTAAATTTAATAATAGATTCCCAATCATATTGTTTGGTTAATTTTCTTTTACTGGTATTTTCATTCAATGATGAACTTAATGGCAGAAATACTGAGATTTGGTGACCGAGACTTTTATCACGATTGGTGGTATGCATTATACTGTGTATATATTATATTATATATATACGGTATTTTAATTAAACTAATTTTTAAATATATTTTTAAATAATTAAATATAATAAGTGTTTATAAAATAAATTTCAAGAAATTGCACCAACAATAAGGAAACCAAGACTTTTTCAAAAAAATATACTTTAAAAAACTTGAATGAATTTTTAAAGAAATTATTTTAAGCATTATATCTTATTTGCATTAAAACTACTTTAATATATTTTAGACATTTAATTAGACTTTGACTAGATTTTCTTCAAAATATTTTTTTAGAAAATTTAATGTAAATAACATGTAAACAACAAAAAAAAATCTATATTTTTATTGTAGAAAGCAATGAAATTTTGTGAAATTTATTTTAATAAACTCTAGTATTTTTTGTTAGTTTAATGTTTTACTAATAATTAGGAATTCCGAAAGTGTTGATCAGTTTTGGCGAAACTGGAATATTCCGGTCCATAAATGGTGTAAAAGACATCTTTATAAACCACTTCTAACTCGTGGTTTTACCCAATTTCAGGCATCGTTAGCCGTTTTTATAGTGTCGGCGTTTTTTCATGAATATATTGTTTCGTTACCTTTAAAAATGTTTGAAATTTGGTCGTTTGCGGGAATGTTATCACAAATTCCGTTTACTATATTTGTTTCACTATTAAAGGGAAGAGCGGCTAACTGTGCCATTTGGCTGCAACTTATCATTGGACAGCCTCTCGCTATACTAATGTATTATCACGACTATTATGTTACAGAAATAATTAACCAAAATGTGACTGTCTCATTTTTATAATAGTTCTACATTTTATATTATATCTGTATTTTATACTTTTTTTTTTAAATAAAACATATATTAACTATTGTGACTAATCATTTGTTAAACATAAAAATCAAGGTTTTATAAGATTATTAATTGCTGTAATTATCATATAATTAATATAAATATTTAGTTACACAATAAATTAGTTGACATTGGTTAGTGAATATAATAAATATTATATACAATAAATACTTGTATTATACAGTAGACAACTTTTAATTGTTAACTATTTAATATATTTTGTATTATATAATATATTTTTTAATTTCTATATACTGTAGTATTAGGTATATCATAAAAAACAAATTTAAACTTAATTTAATGAAAATGTACTGTAATTCAAAAATATTATTAATCTTTAGTAATATTCCTAATTAATTGTATAACTTATATATTGAATCGTCATGATTACCATTGAATATATTTATAATAGTGATTTTTAATTTGACTATAATTTATAATGTTGCGAACATCACTTTTTGATAAACATAGTGTTTATAAATATCAATTCATATTTTGGTATTTGTTTAAACGTTTAATTTATATTATGAAAAAATGTCAATAGATTTGTCAATTATTATAGTGATATGTATCGCAAGTTTATTACTATTAATTTGGTTTATAGTTTGTTGTATCTGTAAGTGTCTGTGTTGTGAATGTTGTTGTTTTTGTTATCCAAATGAATCACTCGTTTAAAACATGAGAGAAAACTAGTTTATCGGATCATTAAATTTGATTTTAAGTAAAGACAACAATCAATTGCTTCATTTATTGATCCATCGATTGACTGTAAAGTTATATATATATATATATACTTACAGTATATACTGTATATATACCGGTATATATACTTTCAAATGGTATGTAATTTGATGAGACAATTGCCTATTTGTCTAACAAAATAAAGTGATTCCTTTGACAGTTAAAGAATGTGTATATAAATTACAAGAATAAAGACTAAAACTTTTTTATTGTTTCCCTTTTGTGTATTTCTCTTATTAAGCATATATAAGATATGTCAATAAGTAAAATGTAGGTACAATACACTCAATCTAATCGTATAGAAAATAAATATACAGAAAAAGAGACCTATTATTGAATAAGCAAACAGTCAAACATTTGTATTTGTTATTATTGTCATATCATGTGTTTGCACAAACCAAATGCTCCTCAATATTGAGATAACCTATTGTCAGTGTTTTGAGAGGGAGAGAGAKAGAGAGAGAGAGAGAGAGAGAGAGAGAGAGAGAGAGAGAGAGAGAGAGAGAGAGAGAGAGAGAGAGAGAGAGAGAGAGAGAGATTCTAGTGTCTGAATCTGTAAATTAAATTATTTCATTGCATTTATGCTAATATATCACAAAGTTTTGCTCTATAGTCGAGAGATTTAGTGTTTATGACACCGATAGTAGTGATACGGTTGAAGTAATTCTAGGTATTAGTAGAGATACTTATACTAGTAATACATATAGTGTTATACTTTTTAAAATGTAATGTTTAGAGTTGATCCCTATTTTGCGTATTGATAGCCGTCTCGGATGCGCCACTTTGTTAGCAATAGATTGAAGTGAAAGCCGCCACTAAACCTATTAAATCCCTCCACAGTTTGACATCGACTCGCATTTAATCGATTTGTGTCTCCAGAGAGAGTCCCATCTGCGCCAAACCAAAACCGGGATCAACCTCTTGAATGCCTCTAAATTCAATTTTCTTCATCACTATTGATTCTCTCTCTCTCTCTCTCTCTCTTTCTTTCTCTCTCACCTCACATCTATCCTCCCTCTCTATCCATATCTTATATCTTTTGAGTAATAGGTATTTCAAAGTAATACAAGACTAATAACAATGAAATGAAGCACATCTTCTTCATTACATGTTTTTTAAGAGATAGAGACAATCAATTACATAAAAAAGATAAAAACATTATATTATAGATAAAAACAATATTTTTTATTTAATTATTATTGTTTTATATACAAACACTATTTTTATATGACAAAACAATTATTTATTATTGCTGTCAATTTTATTACATTATAACATTACTTTTATGTGAATTGAAAATTGATTTTTATAAAATTATAATAAATTTAATGATTTGTATATTTATTATAATTAGGAAATAATGTTTGACTAGAAGAGAAACTATGATTATTATTATTACAATTCATGAGATGGTCCTAACATTTAGTGGCAAAAAACTGTTTTCAGAGCTAATCTCTTGTGAGTACTATATGTGCGACACGTGTACTCTTCAGATGGGTTTACCATTTGATGGTATGACTTGCGAAGAGCCACAGGCTATGACTATAGAGGAAATAAGTTATCATAACATTACAAATATTGTACTGCACTTCACTTGATCCCATCACTAGTTAATATACAGTATAAATAGCACTGAGAGTTAAAGTATAGTTAGTTATACTGTATATGAATTTAATTATATAAATAACACTTGGAGTGGAGTTAAGCCAATCAACACTTACATCATTGTCGGCACTCTTTGATCGGTTGGTTTCAAACATATTATTTGACTTTTATATGATTTGCTTTTGAAATTTTCTTCTTCATTTCAAAACAATTATAATATTTTACATATAATTCTCTTTCGGATTAGACAATCAATAAAACTAAGCGTCCAAAACATGATTAAGATATGCGATGTAACAGATGGCCAGTCGAAGGATCTCTATTTTGGATAATTTCTTGTCCGGTGGTAGGGTTGGCAAGAGGTGTCTCAGATGTGAAAAGGCAACATTAAAGGCCTCGACCCGAATCCGCTCTCTGGTCGCGTGAGCCAACCTATACTTCTGAGTGGCTCTTCTTCGGCGACGTCTTTCCTCACGAGTCAGGTGTGCCATCGGTGTGGATGTGTTACCATTAGTCGAGTTATCCTCATTGAGAGCACCAGCACTGGACCCATGTCTGGCTTTGTATGACTGAGTCTTTCGTAGGCTTGTTTGACGCATCTGTTGATGTGCTTCACAGTTGGAGACTATAGATGATGGGCTCATCATTGTTTGCGCTCCAGTGGGTGACGACCCCATGTATATACCATATGGCACTGGCGTTGTGGGCACACCATTCAAATCGTCACACTCTTGTCTATTATCAGTACATCTTCTGGAAAATGACATAACATTTGTGTTGACATTAAAATTGGTTGAATTACTGTTCTCTATATTAGCTGTCGATGTCATGTCAAAGGAGTACATCTCTGAAGATGTGTCGCCTAATTGGCAAACAAAAGCAATTTACTGATACATCCGCTTAACATATGGCACATCACTTTCAAACTATTAATTATTATGATTAGTCACTTAAGTATAAATTATATACTGTATAATAATATTAACTATACTACTGAATAATTGACTTTTTAACACATTTAACCGCAATTAACATTTCAATTATAAGTTTGTATTATAAATAAGATAAAAAGTTAAACTCAATTGTCTACTTATTTTCTTATATTTACTGTTATATTAAAGTAATTCATATCTAAGTTTAGTTTGCGATAAAACAATTAATAGTAAGTTTTCAAATATTTATTTAATACACTTTATATAAATTGCGCTTAAATTATTATATAATTTTTTTATAAGAGGTTTGATTTAATGTTATCTTAATTGGGATGAAATTAGATTATATATTATTATGGAAAATATTATATAACACTATCATAAATGTCTAATACTTAAAAAGCGTGAAAATTAATTTTCAGTCAAATGTGTTGTTATTATAACTTCAATTGTCTTTTTATATTTGGCCGAAATTGCCGTCAATATCACGCATTTGGCGTGTCTTCAGTTAATGAGTTGTTCGCTATTGGTTTTAGTGGTGATCATCAGCGGTGAGACCAATAGGCGAACAATATATCGACTGAAGACACGCCAAATGCGCGACGAGTGATGTCATCAATAATATATTGATTTAATGTAGAGTACAGTATAGAGTGGTATATAATATATATAATGGTTTGGTTTACTTCAAACCACAGCTTTCAAGTGAGTCATCCCATCTCTAGTTTGTAGTGTAGTCTATGAACCGTAAAAACGGAGTAAAACTTTTCTGTTTGGTTTGGATTACAATTTAATTTTTCAGATTTTAATTACATTATAAAGACATTTCAAGTTATACCTTATTATCATTTTTTAAGAATATTGATAATATTTATGTTCAAACTTATAATAGATTTATTTTTATTAATTATTTTTATAAAAATAAATTTAATATATTAAAATCCAAAATTTCTTATTTTATAAAATTAAAAAACTTTGTTATATTTAATATTATAAGTTAGAAATAATTTATCTTATATTAGAATTTATTAATAAAATACCGGTATACAAATATAAAATATGATTAATTATAAAAAAATATTATTTTATGTATTTTAAAAATTTGTTTAATAGTTATCTTATGAAATTGTATATCAAAATATTATATTGTATCTATATTTTCAATATAACCATAAAATGTAAAAATTAGTTACTTTTCTTAAAACTAAATTATTGTTCAACAAAAATAATTTGTAATATTTTTTAATTATTGAAAAATCACAGATAATAATAATTTTCTATATTTATAGCCAAAAATTTTCATGGATTCTATAATACCTTACAATACAATGCAAGTTATACGTCATTTAAAGTTTTAAAAGTATACATTAAACTTTAATGATTAAAGTGTAAACCATTTAGTCAGGGTTGCGAAAAGGGGTAAGGCCATCTTACCCCCTGAGATCGATTTTTAGGTTTTACCCCCCTGGGGGCAGTTTTTAATATCTAATATGATTATCTAATATGAAGTAAATAAATGCCTGTCCTGGCAATGCCTAAATAGATGCCATAAATGCCTGGCATTTTGGGAATCTATTTTATTGCCACATTAAATTGCTAAAATCAACTGTATTTATAAAAATAATATAATTTTTTGTTTTTAACGTGTTAATTAAATTTACAATTAATATACTTATTTCCAATGATATTACATTTTAATTAAAGGTATACAAAACAAAAATACAAACAAATATATCGATAAAACAATGTTTTATAAATTAATTAATAATATATAATTAAAATAATAGGTGTCACCACATGAAAATAGATACCCAGGGCAGGCATTTGGCAAAATTGGCATCTATTGTTTATGCCTGCCACATTTAAAACCCTGAATATGATACTTAATAATTATAAAATTGTTTCACTACCTAAAACAAAATCTTCTAAACTTGAATTTGAGTTCTATTAATATTTTAATATTTATATTAAATATTTATTTTATGTTTAATCTTTAATTATTGTATAAATTAATCAAGAATATTATTAGTATTACATTTTTTGTAATGTAATTATATAAAAAAATAAAATATGATTTTATATTTATTTTAACAATTCAATGATATAGAAAAATAAAAATTTGTTTTTAGATTAAATTTAAAATAATAAAAAAATTTATAGGGAATTTACTGGGAATTTATTGAGAATTTATTGGGAATTTAATGGTAATTTAATAAATTTTATACGCAATTTAATGGGAAATTACTGGGAATTTACTCAAATTTGGTAGAAATTCTCGTTTAAAAACGCAATAAAAAATTGTTTACCCCACTCTATACCCCAAACTTTTTCAAACTTTTTGCTATTTTACCTCCTTCTATACCCCACCTGAAATAGAAAACCTTTCGCAACACTCCATTTAGTATATCATAGACTATATCAAACATTTACAAACTTATTAATATGTCTAACAATTAGATAAACTAAACAATTTAGAAAAAATGTATTAAATATTTTATATAATAAATTTTGTGTAATTTTAAAAATTTAGACAAAACATTTAATTATTAATTTTTAATAATTACTGATTTAATGATTATCAATATTTATCCAAAATAAAGAATTTATTTATCTTTTAATTAGTTATAATTTATTATTACCACAAAAAAATTGTTATAAAACTATTTAGGGATCACTCGAAAAATTGACAGAAATTTCATGTTTAATATCTTATTTAAACTTATAATGCGTTAAATTTTGTTAAATTTTTTAGTTTAATCCATAACTCTAGTGATATAAATAGTAAAATATTACTAAATCAGGTAAAAAGGATCTTAAAAACTGTTTTTATGGTTAATTAAATTATGTTAAAAATACATTATTTTATAATTTTATTTTGGATTAATCTAAATATATTAATTGATAAAGTAATTAATTTTAACTTTAATTTTAATGAAAAATAAATTGATTTATATATATTGAATCATTTTATATCAATTTATTGTTAGATGAAAACTCTTAACTTAGAGATACTGTATAATACAGCGAAGTTAATCACAATATAAGCATTTTTTAGCGATCAATATTGACGTCTAATATACTTAAAATGTTTAGCTTTAAAATTAACTTAAATAATTTGAAATACTATTAAAATTTTAATTTAAATCAAATTGTTTTCGTTTAAATCCAAAATTTATTGTAAACTTTTATATAGATTTTACTAATTATTTGATGTTAAAAAACTTATTAACTCATTTTTAAATATAAATGTCATGTCATGTTTAATAATAATTAAGTCATATTACCTGTCAATCAAATTTTATGTCTCAGTTATATCATTAATAAATTATGAATAAATGATAAATTAAACGGTATTTAATACTTATTTATTAAATTATATAATTATTTTATATGTTTAACATTAGATGTCACTTTAAATACTTTGATACTATATTTTAAGATTCATGAAAAAGTTACATTACATTAGTAATACAGTATTTATTTTAATAAATTATTATATAATTTGTTAATTTATGTAAAAAATAAATTTATATTTAAATAAAAATGTGTGACAAATAGTGAGTAATTTTTTTAATGATGTCATACACACTATATATGATATGATAATTGGCTTATAAATGCAATAAACTATTTTGAGTCACATCTAAATTGATTATTAGACGATTTGCAATGACTTTAAAAATTATAGTGATCTTGAAATTAAAAAAAAATAATAATAAAGAAATCTAAAAACAAGTTTTTTATTAAAAATTTTAAATTCAATATTCAATAACTTTCACTAAATAGTAAAAAAAATGTTTTTCCTTGAAATAACTGACTAAACAAAGGATTACTGTTTTATTTATACATTTAGTCCTTGACAGAGACAGAGACAGAGACAGATACCCTCCAGTACTCATAAATTGTGGTTATTTTACAAAACACTGGATTAGTATTAGTATTATTTAGTATTTTTTTTGTATTTAAATGAATGTAAAAATAATAAATTATATAAATGATTGAGTAAATGACAATAACTTTAAACTAATTGAAGATATCATTTGACAAAAATGATATGTCAGACATGAATCTTAAAATAAGTTAAACTTATAATCAGTCAGTTATTTAATGCCATGAAATGAAAGTTAAAACAAATAGATATATAACTGAAATATATTTTCCAAGAATAGCTGTCGTTTGATATTCATTGAAGAATTGATCCGAAATATAATGCCTGAGGTGTTGTTGAGTGACAAATATAATGACAAATATAGTGACAAATATAGTGATGAAAAAAATATCAGATAACTGTTTAATTAAATTGTCAAACAAATCTGTCCTTTCATTGAATAAATGATTTAATAAATAAAAAAATGTTTGTTATTATGTTATTATATTATTTTAATTCCAAATTCGTTAACAATTTTATCTGTTTTTGCTATCTTTTAATTAATATTTTTATAAAAAAATATATCATAAAGAAATTATTTATATTTTATTATTATTCTAATATTTCATTTTCAAAAACATGTATTTAAAAATATTTGAAAACAATAATAATTATTTATTTATATACATATAATAGTAAATATTATAGTATATAAATTTATTAATAGTAATTGCTTTTATGAAAGGAAATAATATCATAATTCAAAAATAGCAAAATATAATAACATTTATTTTACCATATTTTGTAAAAATTAATTGAAATTTATCTAAACATTTGTATATACATTACTACTATTAAATATATATAATCTATGAATGAAAATTGTTTTCCTCCAAATACTTTACTGTATATATAGTATATAATATATACTGTATATTATATACTGTACTTAATTGGCATATATTGTATAAAAATACATACACTTTATACAGTACTTATAGTACATATAATAAATGCATTTAAACTAATATTTTCTAAAAATATTTATATTTTGCTGAATGTTTGACCCGTTTTAGTGAAGCAAACAAACAATTTTTATGATATGATGTCATTTCATACAAAGTGATGGCATATGCGCTGAAACATTGCTTCCGTTGATATATTGGATGACTATTATAGACAAACTGCTATATCAAGGGTTATATCAGTTTTAGTGCCAAAACGGCCCTTAAATTCAAACTAACATTCATTTGATAATCATTTGAAACTTTTGTTTGAAAGTCTGTATATCTCTGGGTTTGTGGTGAGGACTCACTGACGAGTCTACGCATTGGCTCTCAATTTAATGAGTTGTTTATGTTATGTATGAGTTGTCTCCTGTTTTAGGGTGTGCTTCGTTAGCAACACTTGTATTCATTTGACTAAAATTACTATTATTATTGTATTATTGTATTATTGTATTATTGTATTACTATTTGGTAACCAATTTCTCAAACAAACTCTAGAATTCTTTCAAAAGCTTTTACTATTTATTGAATGTAAGCATACATTCAACGCGTTTGCATTGAATTTGTGTTTCAAAGTGAAGGCGTCTCAAAATATTTTCAGTGAATTATTATTAACTGGTATTTCAACTAAACTTTAAACAACAAACAATCACTAAACACATTAAACTATAATTTTAACTAAACTTTTCTTTTCAAGTCAACAACAGTTAACATTGTATTGTTTGATACAATCTTTTTTTTGTAATTTAAAACAACTTAATATCAATTGATTTTTATTTTTATTTTCATCAAAAAACCTCATCAGTAAGTTTACAAACATTAAAATATTTTTTTTAATTATTTTATTTTTAAATATTTTTTTATTTAAAATATAATAATTGTGTAGTTAATTGTATGCAAAAATGCCTCAAAGCAAACATCTAAACTATTATGGATTTCTGGGCCTTTTTGTTGCCGTAAGTTATCCTTTTATTTTCAAATATTTAATCATTTTGTATCAAATTGTTTTGTATCAAATTAAATACCAAATTAACATTTCATACCAAACAATCGTTTATTAATATTTAACTAATTTTAAACAAAATGTTTGTAAATAATATTTATTATAACAGATAACTGCTTTTCAGTATAATTAATTGCTTTATTTTCAATTTACTTGAAATATTAATTATAAATATGTTTATTTGCTTATTTTATTATATGTTTGGTTTGAAAATTTATACAAAATTGAAATATATTATTTTAGAGCATATTTGTAATAAATTATATTTGAGAAAATATAAGCAAATAAAATATTATTGAATTTACTAAACATTTTTTTTTGGTAATTTTACAAAATACTATAAAATATACTTAAAATTATCTATTTGTTGATAAAGTATGAGTCAATAAAAAAAATAATATTATTGGTAAAGAAATCAAAAGCTGTAGTCCATAATTAAAAGTATATAATATATGATATACTATATATCATAACTATATTTTATGTAATAAATACATATAAAAATAATGATAACATATGAATAATTTGATTATTGATATTATAAAATAATCTGAATTTTATTATTGAAAAATATTTATAACTTTTAACAGATAATTAGAGTTGGCAATTAAATATGTTTATTAATAAAATTAATTTGAATGTCACATAACGTAAACAGTATTGAAATTAATTTGTAAAATTATTGGGACAGTTAGCATCTGTGGCATCGTTTTTCATACTGAAAAACAAGGATTGCACGATAGGAAGGGGTGAAGATTATGCCGATTATCTCGAGATTATTCAGATAACCGGAACCATTACCGGTGGCGTACTTTTTATACTCAGCTTCTTCAACATTGCCGGTGTCTTATATGACATTAAAATCTTATTTTTTGCGGCTATCGGTAATTAGATTTTTTTTTTAAATAATCTATTTATTATAACGTATTAACTAATGATTATTTTACAAAAAAATAGTTGTTATACTGGGAGTGGCGGGTGTTATGTTTTGGGGCGCATATATAGCGTTTACAGAGCCATGTACTGGATCAATTTTGGGAATCAACTCATCTTTATTTGAGAAAAATGCTGTCAATGCTAAAGATGGACATAATATAGCAATTTTGGTGTTGGATGTGTTGGCCGGTCTTATGCTTACATCTATTGGATTCACATTTGCTAAACGTCTATAACTTTAAAGGATATCACTTATTGTGTATTCATTACTATATTATATATTATATGTATATTCTTTGATTTTTTCTCAATGTATTTCATTTTATACATAAATTAATTTCAAACATTTTAATTATACTTAAATTTGAATATTTAATTACTGAAATAATTTTAAAACTTAATTGTGATGTAATTTTATGTGAATACAATTATAAGATTATCGTCCATTCAAGCAAAAGTGCAAGTATTATATAAAAGTGCTTTAATTATATTAACTCGCATTTTAACTAAAACCTCTTATAGACTACTATTAGTGATAGCAATAGCATAGAAGCCTTATATTTGGATATTTAGCTACAATAGAGCATATAGTATGTAATATATAAATAAATACCATATATACTAAATATATATATATAAATATATATATATATATATATAAATCGATATTCTTTGCGTTTTTGGCTTCTGTTAAAATAAATAACTTATAATTTATTATTATATATAATAGTGTTGTATTAAAGCAAACTATTATTATATAATAATAATAATAACTATTGAATGTACAGTATATTACAATTGCTTTACTTCTGTTTTCTATTTTTATTACATTCGAGATATTATTAAACAATATATAAGAATATTCTGTGAATTTTGATTACACGTATTGTATTTCAAACAAAATCTCTTTCATAGACATTAAATCATAGACTCACAACTCTTTATAAAATTATTATTATTTAATATAATAATAATATGGTAATAATATTATATGATTTAAGACTCAAAGTATAATCACTGTTAAACTTTTATATAATTTTTAAGCTTTTAATAATTAAGTTTCTTTTGTCATATACTGAATTTAATATTTTTAATCGTTAAATAAACGAATGATTGTCATGTATTTTATTGTAATTACATTATAATGTACTGTATATTCTAACATTTTCAATTAATTGCATTTTATTGTTGTATTAAATGTGAAACTTTCAAAATAAATTTACCATTTAAAGGTATAGCTTATGATTGGGGGGTCTGAGAGCTAAACATTTATGGTGTCGTGTGGGCACACTTTTTGGAAACGTCTAAAATAATAAATTTTAACAATTAAGACATCTATCTATGTTTGAAGTTATTTAAAAATATTATTTAATTTGTATTAAAAACTTATATTCTACTCATATTAACGAATGCTTATCAAATTATTTGAAATATTTATTTAAACATAAAATTATACTTAAGATTATTCTCTTAATAAATTACATAACAAATTGTAGTGTTTATACTGTAGTGTAAAATATAAATCATTAACAATTATTGTATGCACAGAATAATTTACCAGTAACAATTAGTCAGCAATCTTTATAATTATTTTATTACATAAAAATAATATTAAAAGTGTATTTGATTATTATAAAAAATATTAAAATTATTATCATTAATATTATTATTGAAAATATTAAGTTTTTTATTTTTTATACATGACATAATCAGTATGTATAATAAGATTAGCACATAATATACATAAAAATATATAATATACTGTCGTTGCTATTAATAACAATTTATTTAATAATTTGTATACATTAGACACAAATAAAGCAAAATAAATATCAATTTTTATTAAAGTAATGCCATAACATTTATATCATCACTAATAATAACAAAAAGAAATCTATTTTTAGCTAACTTTGCAAAATATGATACATTGAGAGTTAATAGGGATTTGATCGCGTGATTAGTTTGCTCTTTGAATTTTAGGTCAAATGTCAAACAGTCTTAAAATAGTATAAAACATTACAGTATTTCAGTTTAAAATATTAAATCCATTTATTAATTTGTTTTAAAAGAAAGCTGAATATTAAATAAATTTATATTTAGTTTTAAACAATTATTAATTATTAAATGCTAAGTTATCTAATACAGTGAAAGTCTAATACAATATTATATATAATATTAGGATTGTTTACGAATATTAAATATGTATTCTCTATACTTTAATAATTAATATATTTATTGTAAATTTATATAATATTGCAATCATACAGTAAACCTATACTTATACACTGTAACTAATTAAGATTAATTAAGATGTTTGTGATTATTAATATATATATATTAAAAGTATTTAATGTTATTTAAATTTATATGTAAACGTAATGATTGAAGCTTAGACTTTGAAACTTTAAAATAGAGTATCAAAAATTTATAAAAAAAAATAGTAAGCAATAACAATAACAATTACCATAATTTTAGTTTATATTAATTTTTACTTAAATAAAACAATTTTCTAATTTTATTTTTGTATTTAAAATTAATTAGTTATTGTTTTTTACTTTATTACCTAAAATAGTTGTTTTGCTGAATCCAATAAAATTATTTGAAATATACAATTAATATACAAATGCATACAAATATGGTTGTAAAGGATGTGTAAATTAATCTATTGTACGTTTAAATGTCAAATATGTTTACTCCTAAGGTTTATTGTGTCAATATTTGACATTTTCAATATAATATTATAATTTTAACGACAATAAAGACACACAAAAGAATTTCCTGTAAATTAATTTTTATTTGATTTTATGTTCATTTTCATACAATTTTTATTTGCTTATATAATTATAATGTCTATAAGTTTTAAATGTCAACAATATTTTATTTAAACTAATTTTTTAATTTAATTAATTTCAATTTTAAAACACTGTTTCTCTTATTAGTTATGATATAAAAAATTAGTGACAAGAATACATCTTAGACTTTCCTTCAGTAACTTAATAATAGATTTTTTTAAATATAAATATTTTTGAAACTATGGCACAGAATGTAAGTCCAGTGAGTGTCAAATCTTAAAATATTCAACATTTAAATTATTGAAAATCTCTTCTGAAAACTTTAACTTTCTATTCATTTTAGACATCTGTTAAACAATAGAAGATATGGATTCCTGAGATCACATCCTTGTTTCGCATGATTTCAACAAATATTTTATTGAAAAACAATCTATTTTTAAATTATTGAAATTTTTTTTTATTGTAACCAATAAAGTAAGCTTTATATATCATTTATATATATCATATATTTTTATATTGTATTCTTAAAAATATTGTTTACATTAGTGGTGTTTCTAATATAGACAACAAATACTACATAACATTATATCAATACATGTGTTTGACTCTATAGACAGGCGTTAATGATAATTAAATCACTAAATTTTTATGAGATTAAATTAATTCATTCATTTACTTGTGATTAATATAATAAAACATATCTTTTAAATTAAATATCATAATTCATAAAAATTATAAAAAATGATATATCTATGGATACCTGAATACAAAGTGAAAATATTGATTAGAAACGTATAGATGATGTGTTTTGCTGACAACAGTTTCAATGATATTATAATTAAATAAACGTTATCTTCAAAACATTATCAATCAAAGTTAGTCATCACTTGCTGTACTTCTATGCGATTGCGGTCCACTAACACTAATAGGACTGTTAGCACTCGTACCACTCTTGAATTGTGACTGACATATAGGACACGGACCTCCCAAATGAAGGTCTAGCTGTAGTGTTGCGTTATGTTTGATGCCGTAATCACTTAATGTACGTAAATCAGCCAAATCTCTGCCATCCATAAGCAATCGTTGATCACATGGTGAGATACCCTCCTGTTCATGAATCTTAACCTTTACTATTTCGATGGTCTCACTTGGATCGACTTGTACTTCAATTGTCTTATTCGACAATGTTTTGACAAATATCTTCATACCATCTCTAAGTCTAAGAACCAGATGTCTGAGAGATTCTGTGTGTACGTTATAATAACTTAAAGTCTTATGATCTTCAAGTTGTAGTCCAGCAAAGAACAGCAACTGATGGTCGATAGGAATGTCTTCCTTCGAACTTATCTTTGTTTTTACACTTTCTATAGTGTCATATGAAAGCACATCCAAACTAATGACAGTTCCATAAAATGTGATGTTTAGTGTCTTGCCTTCACTTGTTTGAGAGGCGGCACAAACAGTTGACAAAGAAGATGAAGAACAATGAGGATGAGGTGAATGAGGATATTGATGCAAATGATGGAAGTGTTGATCACACATATCTTTCGTTCTTTTACTGGGTATGTCTTTCCATGAGGTGGTCGTCGGTCTCTTTCTTCCAATGCCATGACCTTTGGACAAATGACAATCATCGTCGTCATCATCGTTAATGTCAATCTGTTTCTGGATCTGCTCTAAGGTGTGTTGCAATCGATTGATTTGATCATTAAGTTGAATGAATTGTCTTTCGTGATCACTAATACTTTCTTCATGTGTTTTCTTTGTATTCTTCAGTTCACTGATCTGTTCCTCATGAATACGTTTACAACTCTTTAATTCATTGATTTGTTTCTGTTGGCTGTTAACCAATTCACGCAAATCAGACAAACAGTTGTGTTCTTCGACTTGATTTCTAAGCAAAATGAGTCCACAGCCCTTCTCGCAGATGATTGGTTTATATGGATTGAAATCACATTCATTGCAATGAGTTTGCAATAACTCTAATTTTACCACTGATTTGCACCCAAACGATGCTATTAATTGTTTAATTAAATATTTAGTTTTAATATTTTTTCAAATATTTGTTTAATAGAGAATAATGTAAACATGTTGTATAGAGATTTAATTAAATTTTATTAATAATAATCAATAGCTTATATATTTAATAAATCAAATGTAAACAAACTAAAAAAACTACGGTAATTATAAATCAAATAATTTTGAAATCATTTTAATTATATAGTAATCGTATCCTTTCAAAAAGTTATTGTAAACGTGTGCAAATAATTTATAGTATTATTATTACTCAATTAATTAATTAATTAAATATATTTGAATAAATAGGATAATGGATTTTAGCAACAGTTTCAATGCTTTGAGGACAATCACATACTGGCTAACTATAAGATACTAAGTAATCAATGAATAAAATATAAAAATTAATATTTTCATTACAACACTATCTCAATGCTATTTATTTATGATTTTGTGATAACTGTATAAATATGTATACATTTATTTATATCATATATGTTGAAACTGACTTTAAAGCTTAAATAAAAGTAAACCAAATGAGACATTAATATAAAAAATAGTTATGTAGTAATTGAAGTAGTATTTAGTAATTATAATTATGATATAAGAAAATCCTTGTTATAAAAAAATTGTGTCATTTTTTATATGATAGTAATAATCTAAGTATTATGATATGGTATAAGATATTATTTTTATTATTAATTGATATAATTATAATAAAATTCAGTGAAACGATAAAAAGTATAAATAATGTAAAAAATATCGATTACAAACCATATTCACATTTGATGTCCAATTTGGCCAAAAAGTTACGTAAAACCCGTGGCGCAGGTTTCAGGTTTGTTGAGTTGAGTGGCTGTCTATCGACGGGACAATTGTTTTGTCTTTGAAGCCATTCATTGATACAATCGTTACAAAAGGTATGCTCACAATCGGGTGCCTGAACTGCATCTTCAAGAACTGAACAACAGATCTATTGGTTGGACAACAAACAAGTCGTTACAGACAAAGACAATCAATTGATTGTTATATTCAATTGCTATGACTTACTGGACATTTGAGTTCGTCGTCCACTTCGGTCTCAAATCTGATCAAATCGTAACCCATTTGTCGATAGTTTTGTAGCAATAGATGTGATCACTGTATCAATTGGTTTAATCACTTGAATTAAGAATTACTATTAAATTGATTTCAATAAAAAATTAAATTAAATTAAATCAAAACAACAAAATAACAGAATTGAAGAGTCAGTCAAATCATCACATTTTTTGGTGATATCTGTAGTCTTCATACCATATATTATATGATCAATGGTTTGGTATTTGTTGTCAATTCAGACCAATTGATGACAAATACAATCCAAATATCTTTTACTTTAAACTGATTTACTTTATATTGCATTCCCTGTATTCACTCTACAATACTATTCAATACAATAATACATTCTATTAATAATACACTACAGTATAGTCTACTCAACACTTCACTCAATACAGTCCACACTTTTTCATTAATCATTTGTTCAAAAACAACGTTACGGGTAGTTATCCACAAAGGATCAAATAATGTTACTCCTATGGTATCAGACAATTGGGGGACAATATGTACTAAAACTTGATATACATAAAGTACAGTGAAGGCTATGTTTAAAGTTACACTATTTTTGTATTACTTTATATGCGATATATTTTCTATTAATATAGTATTAACTGATTGTCTATTGAAATAATACTACACTATTGACAATACATTTCTACTGTAGACTAATCTTATGACTGCAGTATTAATACATTACAGGCATTACTAGTCTGTGAATAGCATAGCATTGATTTTGATGGGAACGGGAGGCCCAACACTATTGTATGACCACTGCTTTACTATGTATTTAAACTTTAATTATATAACTCTTTAGTAAAGCAATCATTAATATGTTTGCAACGAAACGACAAACTTTATAAAAGTACTGATAGTTGTATTGATAATAAATAATATGATATACATATATGCTCTCAATTATTGCTATCAATTGCTTTTCAAACCGGTCTCAACACAAACACAACTGAATTAATATTTTTTTTCAATCAGTTTATAAGATTTTATATTATTTTAATGTTGAAAGATATGATTAAATGGTTGACACAAACTAGTGATTCACACGATTTTTTAAGTCAAATACCCATAAGTTAAATGTTTAAGTAATTTATTATTTGATATATTTTTTTGGAGGCGCCCACTATCTGTCATAAGCTAATTGTTGAGGTCATCATTGATTGCTTTGATTTAATCCACACTTTTAATGAGTTTAAGTTTAAGGTGTGATTAAAAACAACATATGTTAATGAATATTACATAAAATGTTATGCAATTTAAATAATATTTTTGTATTGCTTAATAGTACTGTAGTTTTATATAAAATTGATCCAATGTCATTTTTGTAATAGGGATTACTATTTACAGCAACTTGTTTTTTAATGACATACATATACAGTATAATACAATATTGTTTATTACAAATAATAGAAATACTGTACTATATATACATATATACTGTACATAAGGATATTATACTCTAATATACATTAATATCATTGTACTATATATTGTGGTATATGTATGACTCGTTTTTTCAAAATAATTAAGTAATTATTGCAAAGTACTGTACTGTATATATAAATATTACAAATGATATTCAGGAACTCCTGAAAGGAGTCCGTATATGCATTCTATAAGTCTGTCGGTCTGTCTGTCTGTCTGTCCCACATAGGTCAGTGGTTCGAATCCAGGCTCTGCTACAATTTTTTTTAATTTTTTGATTTTTTAAGTTAAGGAGTTCGTATGGAAATGCTTTTGAAGCATTCTCAACTGGTTTTAAAATAACATTTGTACAGTACATGTACTGTACACTCTAGTTATTATTGATATAAATACATCATATATTGTATATACTATATACGGTATATTATATCCATAGTTATACATTAAATAGATAACTATTATATAATTTGTTTTTCTATTTGTTAGAAGCAATAGCTTGTAGTCTAATATATAAATTATAATCAAATGTTTCGCTGTATTGTTGCCAATAAAATAATGTCAATCAATGTAATCCCTTGTGAGTCACATTTGATTACTATTTCTATATATTATTTATTATTATTTTTTTGTTTAACAATTAACATGAATTGTAAGATAAAATATTCATATTTTAGTAGAAAATTGTATTAAAGCATTGAATCATCAAATAGTGTGATAAAAAAAATAAAAAAATGACTATATTTAGAGTTCGGGAAAATTTCCCAATTATTTTATTTTATATAAATTTTGAATATTATCACTCAATCTATGGAATTTATACTTATTTTAAAATATTTCAATAAAATTTTATTGTTGGTATTTAAGTTTTAGTACTTTTAGTTTAGTTTAGTTTAGTTAGTATTAGTATTAGTATTAGTATTAGTATTAGTATTAGTATTAGTATTAGTATTAGTATTAGTATTAGTATTAGTATTATAAAATATATTTGATCATCAAAAGGGTTAGAAAAATAAAATAAAATATTTCGTTATTATTCTGAAAAATTAGAAGCATTTTATTTACTAACTTTCATACCTATTAAAATTACCCCCAATTCTAACTATATTTGAATTAATAACATAATTGCGTGTATAATATACTGTAAATACGGTACTGTATTATAAAGTATATTTGTGTGTTGATGTAAGGTATGTAAACTATGTATTTATTTCTTATTAAATGATAATAATAATAATGGTGTAAAATATCTCAAATTCTAAGAGTTAATATTTAATTATTTGTTAGTGATTTGTTATTTTTAAAATATAAAATTATTATAATTAATTGCATGTTGCTATTACCAAGGCAATCTTATTTTATAGAATTTTACAATTAAAACATGTACCGTAATTATGAATTAAAATGGGATAAACATATACATGAATTGTAACATTAAATTTATATTGAGAATGGCTAACAGTTAGACAATATAAACTACTGTATAATTATAACTATTAAATTAAAATAATGTTAACTTATTTAATAGGAAATGTATTGGACTAACTTTTATTTTTACCGGTACTAACACTTTCCAATAATAGTCTACCGGTAATAGAAAAATATTTAGTACTTTATAACTACCGGTAATAATATTTTATATAAAACTCTATATCAAATCAATTTGTTTTAATAAATATAAGATTAGCGCAAATATGCGAAAAAATATTTATAAGATAAACGCTTAATATTTTACTTTATTTAAAATATTGTTATAATATAAATAAATTTACATTGATAATCCTAATTATTAAATATAACAAATATAACAATACATTTATCGTATGGGAATCGGTGGTGAAGAATAAGCAGATAAAGAAGCGGCTGAAGACAAACTTGAATATGCAGTGTCTGTGCCGTAATCTGCAGTGGATTCGGGTTCGGCATTATTCTTGAGTTCCTGTAATGTATGCAAAAATCTTGTCGACTCATCTCCTTTTGGTGTCGATAATTGCTGTTTTATTATAATCATTACCATAAATATAATTACTGTTTATATAAAAATCAAAGTCAATGTCATACCTCTCCCACATCATAGATCCAAATCTTGCCGACATCATCGCCAACAACCACTTGATTGCCGGCATTATTCCAAACAATACGATTTAAGGCTGGATTTCCGTCAACTATTGTCGAAGCGGTTGGCAATTCGGTATCGTTATTAAGATTCCATAAATCGATTCTTCCGATACCATCAACACTTGCAAACAATGCCGGATGTATTGGACTCCAAGAAACATCATACAAATAATCACAATTGTCCTCAAATGAATACAATGGTTTACTCTCTTTAGTTGACCATAGTTTAAGTGTCCAATCAAAGGATGACGTAAGAAAAAGATGTGAAAAATCAATTTGTGAGAGCGCTGAGTGACAGTCGACACTAGTAACAGGTCCCTGATGTCCATCAAACACATCTAAAATACCGGCTTTGGTTCCGTGACGGCAAGCGGTATATACTGATCCTTCTTCGCTGCCAATTATGAAATTATTATAATCTCCTAAAGGAAAAGACATTGAAGACACAGCAACAGGTCGTGACTGCTTTTGTTGACTCAATTCCATAGTGTCTTGTGGTTGGGATAACATGTCTAAGCTCCAGGAGCACAGCTTTCCATCAGTTGAAACACTAATCACATTGTGTGAATTGGGTGTTCCGACCACTTGAATACAATAAACAGGATGAGTGTGCGCTGACGCTGATAATGGACTCCTTTGGACTGGTGTTCGCTTATTAGACCGATTATCCCATAAAACAATTTGTCCGGAATAAGTGCCGCCAAGTATTAAATTTGGATGAAATTTTGCAAAACATGTGGACATTACCGGTGATTGACAATGAAATATATATTCTGGAGTAGACTTTTTAAACTTCATATTCCAAATAAGGCAAACACCGTCCGGTTCATTGGGATTGTCCTCATTGTTATTATATGAAGCAACAAGAAGTTCGGGATATTGTGTCGACCAATCAAATGAAGTGATAGTACGACCCTTACACCATCGCTCGTCATAAAAACAACGATTATATACTAAACGGTTTCCACTCTTGTCTTCGCTGTAATTGAGTTATAATTTTAGTTTTTTTTTAATTACATGATAAACGCGTTAACAAACCTTTCATAATCTTCACGAGCACCGGTATAGTCGATAAATATATCGGATGGTTCATTATAATACAGTGCTCTTTCGGTGACCCTAACTGCCCGATCCATAAACTTTTTGAATTCCTCTTTCATCATAATATGTCTTTTCTCTTCTTCGGTATACTCTTTCTTTACCGGCTTTTTCTCCTCTTCTTTGTTAATCTCTTGCATAGTCTGTGCCGGTCTGACCGGTTCGACGTTCGGTAAATTGGAAGACCTATTGTATGATTGCGGTGGTGTTCCAAAGTAAGAGCCATCGTTTTCATCTTCACCAGGAATGTCATCATATGTGAGGACTATTGAAATAAAAGAAATATTTAATATTATAATTAACGGTAATTATAATTAATGAAACAAATTAACAAAACTTTTCCTTCCAATCAATAAAATCATAGAATAATCAAGTCTTCAGGTATTAGAAACTTTAACCAAAAAGTGTAGAGAAAATGTTGCAAATCATGCATTCAAGGAATGGGATCAACAGTAGTAATAGCAAAGGATTGATAGGTTTAAGGGATGTGTAATATTGAGTTAGACATACCTTGGAACTCGTCATCCCATTCTAAGACATTAAAATTATCTTTTTAGTGACAATTCAATCGAGTTTTTGAATCGATTTGTTATAATGAAAGAAACAAAGAAAATATTTGTAAAAGTATGGGACAATTGGCACCACATCTCGATATTATATCCAATCAATTAGAACTTAGCTTTTAATATAAATAATAAACTAAATCTAATTCAAACAATACATATCTAATAAAACAATAACCACTGTATTTATCGTATATTTATTAAAAGCCATTTTCATACCTTCGTCCCAATGAATCACTGATTTTGTTGTTAAAGTGTAAAGAGTGTGAAAAAGTGAAATTAGATGCGATTATTATTAGCAGTCAATCAAATCAAACAAAATTATTATTAATTATCATATGATTGGTGTGTGTTTTGATGGAAGGAAAGCTTGGATTGCATTTGTTTTTTGTCAAATGAGTTAAATTAAAATATCAAATCAATACGTATTATAATCAATAATAGATACATACCATAGTAGTCGAGAGGACCGCCTGTCAAACAAATCAAAGACAATAATATTAATATTTTTTAAACATTTTATCATTTAATCAATTATAGAGTTAATGAAACAAATGAAACCTTTCTTTGATTTTTGATTTCCAAACGGAGAATCAAACGATGCTTTTAGTAGTGATATTAAGATATAAATAAAGATTATAGTAATGAGTATTACAAAAGTACTGAAATCATTATTAATTAATTGCAAGACATTTGTCACTCAATCAGTACCTCCTCTATCGGTGTTGTGGCCAATAGTTTGTGTTTGCTTCTCATAAGTGACACTCTCTTTGGGAGCAATTGATGTTTGATTCAAATTAACGATTGAAAAGGTTTTCCTCTCGCCTGAAGCTAATTGAGCTGTCGATTGATTTGTTGGATCTTTTAGTGGTGAAGATAACTGATTGACATCAAGTGAAGACTTAGGTTGTGCACTACGGATGTCATCTATAGATTACATTACAAATTAAATTCACTCAAAACAGTGGCAAATAATTTAGTTTACAGACACTCATGAGTTATCATATATTATGGCTATAATTACATGCAATTTAATATATAAAACAATTTTATAATAAAACCCATTATTTAATGCCTAAACCCATTCCCAACCCAACCCTACATAACCGTCAAATACATCAAATAAAATATTCAAATAATATGATATCAATGGTATTACCATTAGTTTGTAATGAAATCCCAATATCCTTAAGAATTTTGTCCACTTCTTCCAAGTCCTTACTCGATCTCTTAGTGTCTGATTCTTGACTCTCTTTCTCCCGAATCCTTCTGGCCTTCTCTTCCTTCAGTTGTTGTAATTTTAATCTCTTCTTCTCGAGTTCAGCCCTTCTGTCGGCCATATTGTGTGAAATCAATTAAATTATCACTGATTTGGTTATTATTATTATTGTTGTTGTAGTTGACAGACAATGACAGTACAACTCCTATTAAAAGCTTATAATAATTATTAGATATAAATAAATGAGTGATTGTTATAATAAATAGTGTCAATAGTTATCTGTTAATTGCCGTAAATTCGGACCTTTTTGTTCAATGAGTAAACAAATTGTCAGTATTTTCTGTGTTTATGTTAATTATTAATTGACATCAAATGTGTCGCCAATAGTGTTAAACATATGAATGAAATGCACACTAAATGCATAATTTTGTCGTCAAATGTTATGAGAGGTCGCTATCAGTGTTCAGTGTTTAGAATATTTTTTAATTTATTAAATAACATTAACAAACTGTTTCAGTATAAGCAAAACCAAAACAATAATGGCAGCCACACAATTATACCTTATAATACAGTAGTCTATGTATATACGCGTAATATTATTAGGTATAATGCTTAGGGGCGGAGTTTATACAAAACATTAAGTATTTTTTATGTATATATTAAGTGTAATCTATGTGTTTGTGGTGTGTCTGCTATTGTTTTGGTTTTGCTTGTATTGAAACAGTTTTTTGCTTTATATTAATAGAGTGAGTCATTCATCACTTTAAGTCACTATCACTGAAAAGGCGCGTCTTTTAAGTATATTATTCATTAGATTAATCATATAATTAACTATTAATTTATATTTTTATTAATTTATATTTTTATTAATTTTATCCAATCATATAAGTCTACTATTAATAATATAATATAAAAATTTTATTTTAAATTCAATTCAACTGCAATTATGACTAATTATTGTCACCAATACTTCAACTTTTAAATAAAAATAAATTATTTTAAATGATTAATAAAATTAATATAAATTAGATAATCATTTAATAACTAATTTTGAAAATGTTAAAAATACAATATTCTGCATAAATGCTAATATTATACTACAGTAATATAATTTACAATAAAAATTATCTTATTTAGTACTTTAGTTATTTATATATAAAATTCATACAATAATATACATATGTTTCTATAAGTTAGTATCATGATCATTTTACAATAATTATTGACAATTATAATATTTTGAAAACTATAAAACATTAAAATCTGTAAATTGTTAAATATTTTATGTATTTTATACTAAATACTATAATCTATATTTGAGAATATTTTGTAAAATCATTTGATGACAAAATATAAATACATTAATTAAAAATATTTAAATACTAATGCATTACTTGATACCAAAATTAATAATAAGTTGGAATTATTATAAATTATTATAATTATTACAAACTTAATTAAAGTAAATATTTTACGATTATTATTATATTTCAAACTGAAATCAACGTTAATATTAATTTATGTCAATTTTACTAATAATATGATATGAATTTATATTAATATCCCTCAATAAATCATTTTTTCAATAGAAAATTCTACAAAATATTAATGAAAATCTCAACCATATATTTGACGTGAAATTCAATTCATTAATAATTTAATCGCTTTTTATTAATAATAAAATTACAAAGATATTAATGAAATTTTATTTTTCATAATAAAAATTATTGTTTTATTTAATCAATAAATAAACAAAATACAATATAATTTATTACATGTGTTAATATTTGATAATTATATAATCAATAGATTTAATGAATTAATGTTTGTGTAAATTAAGGAAATTTCCATAAACTTCTAATGTGTTCACTGATATTTATATAATAAAACTAATAATTAACTGTTAGGTACAGTAATTGAACTTAATTTATAATATGATATACATCTATGAGATACTCACGCATGTATTAAACATTTGAGATAATAAATATTATATCAAATAAGTTTAATAAGTTTTAAAATATAGTTTTTATGATATAAAAAGTGTAATATTATTTTAAATATATTTAAAGTGAACAAATTTAATTAAATTATATTTTCAACAAATAAATTCTGTATTTTTTATATTTTAATGATAAAATTAAAAATATTTAATTCAATATTGACTTAAAGATATTATTATGTAATATTAACTATTGAAAAAACATCAATTGCAAATTTTAAAAATTTATTTTTAAGTTATAATCAAATTAATGGATTAGCTATCATTTGTTTTATTATAATACAATTTTTATTTTAACAATAAAAAGAAATTCAAAATATTTTAATATACAAAATATATTTCTTACTATAATAGTTTTAAAGTATTTTTTTATAAAAAAAATAATTTTTTATTACTTAAACATTAAATTACCGTAGTTGTATCAACAAAAAAACAATTTTTAACTAATAAAATAAACAGTTAATAATTGATTGATTATTAATTACTAGTGATAATGATAATTTGTAACAACTTATGTTATTAATTTAATTTTATCGATAATAAATCATTTTTATCGGATATTAATGTCGTTTCCGTATACTAATCTAAGTTATATACAAAAAATTAATTTTATATTAACATAAGTATTTTGATATACTGTATATTGGATATTTAATCGATTTTATTTTTTATTTATTTAATTTATATAAACAATTTTTTATTATATATTTTTAATTTATTATTTAATGTTAATATAAAGTTTCCTATTAAATATTAATAATACTTTATATTAAATATATATATATATTCCTATTCAGTTATATATTTTAATGTATATATAATACTAATATAAATTTATGTATGCTAAATAATAAAATTGAAAAATAAATAACAATATGCTATTTTAAATGTACAGTATATTATAAATTAAAATTGAGACTTCGTTTGATTATTATGATTATTTTTTTCAATATCATTATTGATTGAAAAAACTGTATTAATTTGAGGCAATGTTTCACTATTTATATTATCAATGCATTTATCTTTAGGCCACGGAAGCTCTATGAAGAAAAAGTAGGTCCAAACACCTACTATGGCACCGATTACAGGCCCAACAATACCACCCGACCACCAATAGTTGCCATTGAGTGCACTAATATATCATAAAAATTAATAAAAATTAATAAAAATTACTGAATATTTATGTAAAATAAAAATATATATTACGTGAAGGCATGTTTGCCGTAGATAACCATAGCCGAGAATATTCGGGGACCCAAATCACGCGCGGGATTTAGTGGCGCGCCTTCGTTGCTGTTAAATGCTATGGCGTGACAAGTGATTACAAATGCCAAACAAAACGGTTGTAAAGGTTTCGGTATATTTAAGTTTTTCTCATCAGTTACGGCACAGACAGAGAATAGTAGAGAAGCAGTTCCTACGACCTGACAAATTGAACGACTCATTCAATTAGTTTATAATGATTTATGGGTCACAGCTATCCCTCCATTTAATCAATGAAAATATAATACCTGATCTATTATAGAGCCAAATAGTGTTACGTACTCCTGTGGATATGTTGCAAAAAATTTACCGGTACTTAAATTATGGCCATAGGTTTGCAATTGGGTATTATTTCTAATTAATATGTGATTATTTTGTAACTCTATTACATCAATATATACATAATAAATAATTGCCGGTGCTATTATCAATTTATATATAAAAAAAAATTATTACTTTCAAACTTAAATCTTGTATAAATTGAAATACCTATTATTGCTGCCAAAATTTGCGCCAATATATAGGGCATCACTTTTTTCCACTGAAATTTACCAATTGTTGCCATTGCAACTAAAATAGTATATTAATTTATTAAACATTCATATATTTATATAAATAAATTAACAACTAAAAGCTTACTTGAAACAGCAGGGTTTATATGACCACCTATAGTACATATAAAATAGCAATAAGTTATAAATATTATATATTATTATTAAATGTTGTCAAATATTGATTAAAAGTACCGGTAATATTAAAAGAAGCACAAAGACCCACAAAGGCTCCAAAACCCCAACAAATATTAGACGACCAAAGATCAGACCTAAAGTTTGGATCATTTTTTGGATTATTACTTGTTGTCACTCCAGCTGAACACCCAATTAACTAAATTAAACATTTTATTTATTAAAATTTCAAATATTTTAATTAAAAAAAATTAAATGACTAACCATTAACATAAAAGTGCCGATAAATTCAGCCAACAATTCTCGTAATAAACATTTCCAATGAATTAAATCATTTTCGTTATTAGTTTTGTTAACTTTAAAAATTTTCATATTTTATTTGCAATAATGAGTTGTTTTTTTTGTTGAAGTTTTCACACTTATAATGATTTTACTTATAATGTAAAACACTTCTATATGTAGTTTATATGTAATAGAAAAAACATCAATTAATAGAGTATATAATTGGCTAAAATCTTTAAAACAATTACTGTATTAAAGTATATGATAGTAAATAATTTAATGACATTTTATAGATATTGGGCTATCATAGAGTATAATAAATAATAATTGATTTCTTATCAGAAAATGTTATATCAATTTATATATATATATATATATATATTTCTATTTTTATTAATCATATTAATTAATACTTACATATTAACAATTTTTTAACTTTTAGTTAAAGTGTTACAATTTAAATTTTTTTGGTGATAATAAATAAAACTTACTAAAGCTAATAATTTTTTAAAATTTTTATTTGTTTCCTACTAATATCAATTAATGTATATGTAATCTTTACACGTGTTTGAGATATCGGTTACTAAAAGTCTAGTATTTTAATTGCAATTTGCAAATAACATATTTTGATGTTTAAATAAAAATTTTGTTTATTTTATTTTAAATATATTTGCAATTAATATCAATTAACATTGTATAAATATATGATAATATTTATAGATAAAATCTTGAATAATATTTGTTGTAATTTATAAAATATAACAAAATTATTTATTAAATATAAATATTATAATTATAAAATATCAATAGTTAAACAGTATTAAAAATATCAGCAATTAATATAATTTAAATAATTTAAACAAAATATAACTATAGATTAAGCAAAGTATCAAAATTAATATAAATTTAACTTATTTAGATTAATTGTACTTATTTTATATTTATAAAATGTTTATAAATATTAAATAATTAATTAATTAATTAAATAATTTGAAAATAATAATACTAATTTAAACAAATCTAACCATTTAATGACTTATGATTACATTTTTATGCCTTAAATAAGTTGTCAAATAATAAATCAACTCTACTGTATTATAACATTTTATAATTAACATAATTTATTATTATTATTATTATTATTTGCTTTTAAAATTTATATGAAATATTAAATATATTGTTAATTTATTTAAAAAATAACTAAATTAAATAAATAACAAAATTATTAGGTCAAAATTAGAATCGCACAATTTATTATTATTATTATTAAACTAGTTATGGTTAATAATTATTATATTATCTTTCAAATAATTTATATCAAAAATAAATAACTAATAAATTTTTCCAAAATAAACAAAAATATGATACATATAATGGCATAGAAGTACTAATAAAATATTGTCAATGAATTAATAAAGAGATTCACTAATAAAGTATTTATTTATTTATGTTTAGTAATAACTAAACAAAAATAACTAAATTATCGATTGTTTTCTTTGATTAAATAATGATTAATATTGTTTGTAATTATATAAATTAATAATTCATTAATAACTTTTAGTAACATTATATTGTATAAAGATAGTTAAATATAGACAAACAAAACATATAAATATATCAGTAATTTATCATTTGATGACTTATTTGTATCAAATCATATCATTTTAACACTACTTTAATTGGTGTTCAATATTTTAATGTCTTGTCTTTCAGCTATAAATTAATTTTAATAATAAGTTTACATAAAAGCGGCTTTCCTTTTGTAAAAGATAAACTGTTTTGAAAAATATAAAGAATATTATTATATGTTAACTCTAATACTAATATGTAGATTATATACTGTATATCAAGTTATATCATATAAATTGTTTTCCAGACAATTTTGTGACCTAATTATTAATGATTTTTGAAATTTAAAAATAAAGATTTGTCTAATTCTAAGAAATTTTAGCAAAACAAACACATAAAGTCATATATAATGATAATCATAAATAAATAATGAAAATTAATATTTGAATAGATTTTTATTATATAGTGTATGATCAGGTAGAATTTCATGAATAAACGATCTATAATTATAATCCAATAAAAATATTACATTAGAATAGTTGAAAATAATTTTATTGTATTAATTAATTATAACTATTAAAAATTTTATTGAAGGGTATTAAACATAAATTATAATAGATAGAGGGGATAGCCCTAAAAATATCAAAACATGACTATTCTGATCACAATATATTCTGTATATAATTTTTAAAAAATAAAGTAATTTTTTAATTAATAATATTTTTAAAAAACAAATATTTCTATTACAGTAATTGTATTTTATATGATTATATGTTTAAATATTAGATTTTTATAATGCTTAAAAAATATAAAAAAAAGTTCATTTTAAACAAACTAAAACTTCAATGACTTGTTAATGAAATCTATTTGTGTGTCTATATTTGTGTCTTGCATTTTATTTTAGAAATTTTAACATTTTATATAAAATATTGAAAACTAAAAAAGATATTTTTATTATTTATTTTAGTTAATTAATAATTATATTTTAATATACTTTATATTAATTACGCATAAATTTTTACAATTTTCTCGCGAATCCATATGTTTCTAATATATTGATGTAATGGAAATTTTTTTTGACATATTAACTATTTTGATTGATTTGTGAATTAAAAATAATTGTTTTATATTAAATGTAAGTAATTGAGTATTGATTTATATTTATGATTAAAGTATTAAGAGTTTTATTAGAAAATGCGTTAATCATTAAATAAATTTATTATTTTATATCATATAAAATTTTATCATTTAATACAAATACTTAATAAAATAAATTTATATTAAAAGCAATATTAATATTTTTAATTCTTATATCCTATTTACCTTAAAATTCATTTTAGTACAAAAATACTACAAGTAATACTTATAAAAATTATTAGTTTAAAACATAAAATAAAAACTAAATTAATAATTTTGTCAAATATTATCGAAATCTTTATATAATGATTTTTATAATCCTTTATATCAAAACTTTATTACTCAAAAAACAATTGATAGTTATTTATTTTTTATAATAGAATGAAAACCCATACTAATTATTACAATATTTATATATTAATATTATTTTAATTATTAAATAAAGATTTTACAAATTATATATTATTTTATAAAATTATATAATATAACACATTTTAGAAACAATTAAAAGGAATACAAACATATTATATAAATATATTATTTATTATTTACAGTTATTATTATAAAATTATTGTACTATTACAATACTTACCTTATTATTCATAATTATTTTTTTATTTAAAAGAATTTTAAATAATTTTAATTTCTTTAACATTAAATAAATTTCTTTAATTGTACTGAAAATGTCAAACAAAATCAAACAAAAACTGTTAATAAGATATACAGAGTATTAGATTTATTATAAAATTAAAGAAAAAATTATAAATACTTAAAAACATTGAAGTATATCATACTTTCAAACAATATGAGCATGAATTAAAGCACAGGTGTGCAATATATTCAAAAGTCATTGTTATTTAATATAATATTTTATCAAATATTAGATTAAATAAAAATTATTTATTAACTGCAATATTGTTATATTATAATACGTATACTGTATAATATATATATAGTAAGATTAAATTTTAGTTTATCGTCAATTAATTATGCAATTTATTTACGTAAATTACTTGAAAATCAATTGAAAGTAAGTCAATAAATGTCACATTATTATTATTATCTAAAATGGTAAATTATACTTTTTAAAATTATTACTACATCTAATTATTAATATGTTTATATAATAGATAACAAAAAATAATATAACATGAATATTTTCTAGTACTTGATATTTATTTATAATATTATATAAATAAATTTCATTTTACTATTGTATGTTATTATAATAATTATTATTTATAAGTTGTTTTGTAATAAATATTAACATAATTAATTAAAATAAATATTAAAAAACAATATATTAGAATTTGATAATTATCTATTTTAAATGTAAATTTTGATCTATTATTAGATACAAGTTATTTTGAAAATAAAATTACTGTATATTATTATATATAAAAAATTTATATAATATAATGTCTGAAATGCTTTCGAAAATTAATGGAAATGAATAGAAAATTCTTGTGAATAATTCATAGCAACAATAATAATAAAAATGTATTTTATTTCTTTACAAAACAATACAATTGTGAATCGTTTGAACATTGCCTTCAGTGAAGAGACCTTTTTTGATAACATTTCGTTTTTTCTCATGTCATGCACTGAATCTAAAATATTTGACTTTAATTTCAATGGCATTTACTAACCATTTGTTGAAAAAGAAAGATAAAGAAAAAGAAGAAGAGAGAGAATGAGAGTCTTTGTTATTATTAGATTCTTTGCTTAAATTCTTGAATGTTAACTATTGCTATGAATTTTGACTTTTAGAGTATTATTGAAAAAATCAATAAAAAATTAACAACAAATTATATATTTGACCAAATGTCTCATTTTTAACTTTATAAATTTATAATAAAAATATAATAAAATTGATAAATATCATAATAAATATAAATATAATTTATATTGAAAAAAGTCTAATATATTTAATATATTGAACTATATATTTTTGACACTTTTATAATTTTTATTAAGTACATATTTTAAACTATGATGCAATTAATATATTTATTTTAATTAAAATCCTAATATTAAACATAAATAAATTTTATATTCTAAATTACATTATAGCTAAAGTTTATGTCACAATTGTCTAACTTTATGTTTACTAAAAGTCATTTTATATAAAAATATAAAATATAAGGATATTATGTTTTATTGTCTTTTTTAGGAGTATTTATGGTTATTATTGTATAGTTTGACTTTTTTGTGCTATAATCCATTTGCAGTAAACTTAAGCAAACTTTCTTATAAATTTTCAGTGTTAAACAAATCAATTTGTTTTGTACAATGAACTGAATCATTGCTTAAATAGTTAATTCCTATTTAATTGCAATATATTAAGTATTGTCAAACAAATGAGTTCATGTGATTAGTTTGTGCGCTATTTAATTAGTATTCATTATGTATGTGCAAACAAATTGATGTTCATATAACTAATG